TAAATTTTTAAAAACAAATTTACATTTTAGGAAACAAATTCACATTTTAAATAAGTTAGATTTTAGGGAGAGAAAGTTTCATTTTAGAGAAAAAAAAATACATTATAGGGAAACAAATTTACATCTAAAAAAAAAAATTGACCGTTCGGAAACACTTGTACAAGTGCAAAGACAAAACTGCAAGTGGCAAAACACATTTACATAGCAAAAAAACAAATTAACAAAAGACGGCTACACGGAAAGGGAATGTCCCAGTGGCCGGATGTGACGTCACGATTACCCTGACTTGTAGTACAAACAGCTCAATCTGTAGTCCTCCTGCTTCACGTGAAAAGTCAGCGGCGATTTTAGATGGAAAGAATTGCACTGAAGCTGTTTTTCTTACGTTTACGCTAACCGAACAATGTTTTCAGCCAATTTTCACCATTTTGTTCTTCGTGCGGACGGTCTCTGGAACTTTTACGGGACACGGTACAAGGTGGCAGGACCAAGCAGCAGGGCCGAGCTCAATTCGTGGCAGTGGCTGCGGCAGAGCCTGCCATCGGAGTGGCCGTTGTTGCCCGCTGCCGGCAGAGCCTGCCATCGGAGAGGCCGATGGTGGCCGCTGCCCGGCAGAGCTTGCCATCGGAGAGGCCGATGGTGGCTGCTGCCGGCCGAGGCCACTTATTCGCAGATAAAGTACTCCGTTCCATCAAGTAAATGTGACATTATAAAAGTTTTAATGCAGTTTATTAAGCAATAACATCACAATAAAAAGAAACCCATAAAGAATACATTTTAATACAGGTTATTAAGCGATAACATCACAATATATAGCCTATATATATATATAAAACAATCTAGTTAGAAGTACTATAAATAAGGCATTTGCCGAAAAACGGCAGGAAAAATACCCAAAAAATAATTAAATACCAAAGAAAAGTAATTAAAAAACTACATGACAAAATAATAGTGGCTCCGGCCAGTAATACGCCCGGCCCTGCTGCTTGGTCCTGCCACCTGGTCCGTGTCCCGTAAAAGTTCCAGAGACCGTCCGCACGAAGAACAAAATGGTGTAAATTGGCTGAAAACATTGTTCGGTTAGCGTAAACTTAAGAAAAACAGCTTCAGTGCAATTCTTTCCATCTAAAATCGCCGCTGACTTTTCACGTGAAGCAGGAGGACTACAGACTGAGCTGTTTGTACTACAAGTCAGGGTAATCGTGACGTCACATCCGGTCACTGGGACATTCCCTTTCCGTGTAGCCGTCTTCTGTTAATTTGTTTTTGGCTATGTAAATGTGTTTTGCCACTTGCAGTTTTGTCTTTGCACTTGTACAAGTGTTTCCGAACGGTCAATTTTTTTTTAGATGTAAATTTGTTTCCCTATAATGTATTTTTTTTCTCTAAAATGAAACTTTCTCTCACCTAAAATCTAACTTATTTAAAATGTGAATTTGTTTCCTTAAATGTAAATGTGTTTTTAAAAATTTAAACTTTTTTTTCCAAAAATAAATTGTTTCATAAAATATAATTTTGTTTCTTCAAATGTTATTTTGTTTTTTATTTGTTAATGTGTTTTTGAATTGTAAATGTGTTCTTAAAAATTTAAACTTTTATTTTTCAAAAATACATTTGTTTCATAAAATATAATTTTGTTTCTTCAAATGTTATTTTGTTTATTTGTTAATGTAAATTTGTTTGCTAAAATGTAAATTTGTTTTTAAAAATTTAAACTTTTTTTTCAAAAATACATTTGTTTCACAAAATATAATTTTGTTTCTTCAAATTTTATTTTGTTTTTTATTTGTTAATGTGTTTTTGAATTGTAAATGTGTTTTGCACTTCTCAGCCACCGTAGCATAGAGACGAACTCTAACTTCTTATTGTTGAATTGTGAAAAAAAAGAAAAAAGGTCTTTTGTAATTTTTATGTGTTTATGATGTATTTTTTTATGTTGTTATTGTTTTGTATTGACAAATTGTAATTTTTGTGGCGAGTATTGTCTTTTGAGTCTGCTGAGCATTTTTTTGGTAATTTCGAGATATCTTGCTTTGGTTTTCTAATTTTATACTTGGGCTAATATTTCTATTGTGTGTTTTCTTCTATTGACATAACTGAGTTTTATGATTTTTCATGTTTGATAAGTGAAATGTATTTTTAGTTTAGTTTTTACTGGTTAAAATTTTGTGGTTCATCAGGTGAGTATTAAATTGTTGGACAGCGCAAGATACATTTGATAAGTTTAGATTATGGAGTTCAGCTTCAGACACATGGCCTGGCAGGGGACCTAGGAGGGGCTGTTTAAAAAGGGGACTGTTATAAAATTGGGCTAATGTTTTAGTTTTTTAGTATACTAAATAGTTTTTTGGTTCCTCTATTAGAAGGCTTAATCATTTTATTTGTGAGGTCTGTATGTCTCAGACCTCAAAACGGGGACTGTTAAAGAAAAATGATTATTTTTTAGACTTTAATACAGTTAATTTTATGGCATGTGTAAACACTCTCACTTGAACATATTTCTTAATTTTGAACAAGGCTGTGTTAATGATTTAAAACTACTAATGGATAAGTATTTAGACCACCAGCCCATAGAATGAGTATCTCCTGGGGGGTGAATAACAGTTAAGCCTGCAGGAGAGATTTCTGCTTGGTTTACAGAAGGTCAAAAGTCTTCCAGAATAAACAACCAGGGATGGTGAGGCCCCCCGCATTCCACAAGCTGTCTGTGAGAGCTTATCTTGTGTTTTATGACTTTAGGAATTCTAGATGCCAGGACAAGCTTTCCGCCTTTTCTTGTTAAAATAAAGAAGCAAATGACCCCAGATGTTTGCAGTAAATAAGGGGAAGCCCTAGCAGTGTCAGAGATGGCGTTTGGTTGGAGGACCGAGGGCCAGCCCTTTTTGAATGGATTAGATACAAGAGGATAAAGCTTTCTAAATAGAAGTTACAGATCAGATTTTGCTCTTGCAAACTCTCCAAAGATGTCTTGTACGTCTTTGCTTTCTTTCCTCCTATGTCAGGTAATGGAATGTATGTCTCTGTTGTTCTGCAGTTTCTGGTGTAGGTTTGTGCATTGTCTTATTTCTAAGTTTATGCATTGTCTTATATTGGATTAAACTCTGTAATTCTGTGATGTCAACACGCAATGTTGGTTTTATTACCAAACGCAGCTCGCCGAGTGGACCTGGGGAAGGGAAGAATCAGAAGCCAACCTTTTTCCAAAGTTAACTATGTTAGAATATTTTCTTCCTTTACACCACGCATGTTCAGGGAGAACATGAACTCCATGCAGAAAGACCACGGGCCGGGAATCCCAGAACCTTCTGGCTGCAAGGCAGCAGTGCTACAAACTGCGCCACTGAGCAACCTATGGGTAAACTAATCTGGGTAAAATTTTGTTTTTATATTTATTTCTGTATAAGATGTCTTCATTGCTCCATATGTGTTATTCATGTAGGGAAAGATTATGCTTGTAAATCAATGACCAGGAGAGAAGATTCTGTTTATAAAAGTTAGAATGTTTTTGGAGGTGTTTCCAGTATTGCAATTGCAAAATAAGTAAAAACTCGGGACTCCAAATTAAGAGCTTATAAAAATGAGTATGAAGTTTCTTTTTTTATTATTATTGTTTAAGCCAATCTTTTATTATTATTATTATTATTATTATTATTATTATTATTATTATTATTATATTATTATTATTGTTATTATTATTATTAATAATAATAATATTGAGAATAAAATTTGAAAATGTTTTGCTGCCTTTATTGCATGACTTCATTATTACAGTTTTTTAAATATAATTATTCCTCCATAAATAAATTGAATAGCATCTTTTCAGTATCTTTTGAGACCTTGGTTTATATTATTTCATTTTTTTCAATGATCAAGTTAAAATTTAAATAGCAACTGGCTCCTCCATCTTTATTAATGATAATTCCTAAATGATTAGTTTTTTGTAGCTACATTACAGCTGGAAGAAAAGGCGCAACATTTAAAAGCAATTAATCAGCATTTCTTTCTATTTAAACAGAGGAAAGATGCAGCAGATTTGTCAGGTTGATAGCTAGAGGTATTTGTGTAATAACATCGTTTTCTTGTGAAAGAGTAACATTTATTGATTCTGTTAGCAGCTGGCTGCATGGTAAAAAAAAAAAAAAGATAAAGTGTTATAGGACATCCTTGCATAACCCCAAGTTTAAGCTATATGTATGTAGGTGAAGTTTCAGCCTGCAATTTAATTGAAGAATAACCTTTTGAGCGCATATTTTTAATAGCACTGCTAAAATGTACACAAAAGCCAAACATTTTGTAAGGTGTGGAATATGAGTTTATCTTTAATGATCCCATGTTTATAATATGTAATAAAAATAATAATAATAAAACAGGATAAAACCTTCATCAGAGCAGTTTAAGTTAAGTACTAATCTGATTTTTTTATTTATTTTTTTTAGATAGGTCTTTTTCTCAGGTAGACAAATTGAGTCTCTTCATATAGACAGTTTATGGAAGTTTTTTAGTCTTTTAACAAATATCAGAGGCTAAATAGCTACTCTGTTATCATGTAGCCTAAGCTATTATGTCATTTTGATTTAAATAACTAGATTATTCAGTATTAATTTTAACATGAAGTTAATTTTACATTCCAGGAATGTACACATTTTAAAAAAATCATAAAGTAGTAATGAACTGTAAATGCTCTTCTAATGGTTTTCTCACATTTTATAAACAAGTAAAGTGATTTTGAGCATTTTGACAAATTTGCTATTTTATAAATGACTAAAATACATATAATTAGGCCTATTTGTTAAATAGTTATAAAGGGTTGAATAAATTTAACCTGACTCAACTTAAATACATTTGTGTGTAGTATTCTCTTTTATATTTATTTTGTTCTAATTAATTATTTATTAAAACAGTTTGATCGCTTTAATATAGAAAATCCAATCCAATAGATTTTGAGGAAAAGGGTGTCCGCCCAGATGCCTGTTCAAAACAGTAACATTACGTCAGCAGGTCCTTTGGATTCTCTTTTTTTTTCTGGTTGGTTGCAATTTTTATAGGCTTATCACTTAGCGGAATCTTCTCATTCAGTTTGGTAGAAATGCAGGGTTAGCTGTTGCGCCTTGTTTAATTTTAAAGATGGCAGAAAGCGTGAATGTAGTGGATTGTGATCTTCGGCGCGGCTCTGAAATTCTGCATTTAGAGGACGAGGAGCCACTGAAAGAGCTCGATGAGAAAACTGCTGGTAAGAAGAGACTGCAATGCTTTAGGCTAGCTGCAGCCCTGTGGCTCAGGATAATGACCTCCCTTGTTTCTATTCATTTAGATCGGGTTATTTCCCAAAGTTGTTCTTTAAGCGTTTGGTCTAGTTTGGGATTAGCCAACAGCAGTCAGCGGAGAGAAAAAACAGGAAACGGTTGGAAGGACAGGAATACTAAAAATCCCATTTCCTTTGGTCAAGGTTTGATTAAATCGTTCAAACCTAGATTAGATCCCAGCTCTTGGTGATTAATTTGGACCAATCAGTTCTTTTTATTGGTACTGTTTCATGAAGAACAAATTAGCTTTTTTTTATCTCAAATTTTTTTAAATCTCTAATCTAAACAATCATCAAGTCAATCTCAGACATTGTTAGACTGGTTTTTTTTTTTTTTTTTTTTTTGCCAAAGCAACTGTTATTAACCTGAGAGACATAATTACACTGGAAAATAATCGAAATCTAAAGAAATAATATTTTCTTAAAATAAGTGCATTTCTTCTTTGATTCAGGAGGTTAAATAAAACATTTTCCAACAGAACAAGACAATTTACACTTAATATATGAAAACACAATTGCATTGTCTTATTTCAAGTGCATATTATCTAAATGTCATATTCTAAGAGTAAAAATACAAATTCCATTGCCAAATTATTTTTAATTACCTACTCAAATTACCCTTCATTTCAAAAAATGTTAGTGTAGATATGATTTTATATCAAGATTAGCTGGTGGGGGTTAGAAAAAAATCATTATTTCTAAAAATATTTCAATAAAAGCTTTAGAAAGCTGTTACCCAAAAATAAAGAAAATAAATAAATTGGTTGTTTTGTTCCATATTTCACTCATAATGGTGGAGTCATATTTACTGTAGAATATACAGTAAACTCCTATATAAAATATTGCTTAATTAAGTTTGCATTCAGCAAATTTAGCTATTTTTAAGGTTCTGCCAATTAAGAACATGACAGAGCTGATGCTGATTTATCTTTAACAGATCTTGAATTTTTTTCCACAGTTGCCAGAAAATAGAAGAACGTCACTAACTTTGCGATATCCTGAACATTATGATCTGATAAATTAATGGGTTTTTATCCTACTGCTTTCTGATTATTTGCATGCATTCCTGCCAGAGATGTCCTGTTTTTCTCTCTCCCAAATCAGACGAAGACCATTGCTTTAGTGTTGTCTTTGTGTGGGGGTTCTGTTGCAGCAGATGGCCCGTTCCCGTGGAGCCCGGCTCTGCTGGACGTCTTGCTGGTAGCTGGGAGTGGTTCCTTTTCACTGCTGCCACATGCTTGCCCAGGATGAGAAAATGCTGCAGTCAATGCCTCCATGCAGTTTGCTCGTCTCTCTTGGCGACTCTTTAAAAGTTGTCTGCCTTAAAAAGCCCAGCAGATTGCATCAAGTCATTGGCTTTGAAATAACTGCTTATTGTGTAGCAACGTTGAAGAGGAATTTTTTTTAAGTGTGAGCGGCCAACTCCTCCTAGTTCTATGAGGAAAATGTAACCCTTTTTGGTGGCTATGGTTGAAATTTTCATGGAGGTCATGAAAAAAAAAAAGGGGGGGGGGGGGGGCTCTTATGTGCATAATAAAAAAAAATAAATGCAGAATAAAAAAAGAAATTGACCTCAAATTACCAAAAAAATGTATAAAAAAGATTAAATACTGTCCAAAATTTACAGCTTTATTAAATTAGAGCATCTCAAAACTATTTGCATTGATCTTTACATGCTGCGAATTTCAAAGAAGCACAAAAATTGTAAAATTAGGAACATTGCCAAGTTTAGAAAAAACCTGCAAAGACCACAACACATCACAGGTAATAGAGCATCTCAAAAATGTAAATGGTGTAATAAATAGCATCTGATTTCCCTCCATCTCTTCCTTTTTCTCTCATATGGCATTACTTTTTCAAACGATGAGGCCAACGTCATCGGCTTCACTGCTGATTTATTTAACGTTTAAATTGGTGTGCTGGGAGACACTGACATGTTTACAACATTCTTCATTTTGCAGAGGATGGCTTTTTATGACTTTTGCAGCATGTCTTAAAAATTATCGCCTTTTGTTCGATGTCCGCACCCTGAAATCCAAACGACAGCCATATATTGTTTAGCTGAAACACCTGCTGTCGCTATATTTCATTTACTGGTTGCTGTAGTGTAACCTTGCGCTACAAGCTGGATTGTTGCAAGATCTAAGTTTTCAGTCTCACAAAAATCCATCTTGAAGGATTCCCGCTAATACGTCTGTCTTATAACAACCAGGGAGTCGGATCAAAGACGTGCCAGCACTGTTTTTTAGGGTGGGACATGTAGGAAAGATGAGAGTCAGAAGGTTCTTATTGGGGCATAACAAACATGGCTACACTGGTGGATTTGCCTGTCGATACCGCAATCGACTCGGTTTTAGCTAAAATTGCGTCAATTTCTCTTTTAAAAAATTAGCAAAGAGAAAGAGTTAGTGCATTTGTAGATGTAAAAGCTGTCCGTGCTTTTCTTCCGACAGGATTTGGAAAAAGTTTGATTCATCAGCTTACCACGCTAGTTTTGAAAACACCCAAGAAGCTGCAAACGAATTATACTGGGATGATCGTGTCTGCGTTGATGGTTCCCATGGACGACCAAGTTGGCTGAAAGTAGAGCTGGGCGATATGGCGATATATATCGTGAGGACGAGAGAAACATGTCTATCGTGACCTTTCTCCTCTATTTTTTCTATCGTGATAAACTTTTTTATTATTATTATTACTGCTAATATACATTTTAATATAATTTGTTAATATAACATTTTGCGTTTTTGCTATGCAAACTCTAAGTGTATATAACGAAAAAAAAGAGAATAAAAAGATAATGTGTAGAGAACGTGGTTTTGCGACACTACACCGCTTTACGTCACGCGGCTTTGCACCATACGTTTGCGACATTACTGACAGAGAGAGCCCGCGAAATTTCTTTCTGGCTTGAAAAAAAATGAATGATGGACACCCAAGAAGATGTTACCACAGCAGCGGTTAAAGAGTCCGAAACGGTTGCCAGGTCACAGACACAACAAACACCACTTTTGCCCAAAAGGGGAGGCAGCTCGGTTGTTTGGTTATATTTCGGATTTCAGCCATCTGATAAAGAACATTGCAGCCGATATGTAAAATGTGCAGCAAAGCCGTTCCAGCGGCTGATGCAAATACTTCCGGCCTCTTTTACCCACCTGAAGAAAAATCATCAACAAGAACACGGGAAACTACAACCACTCCGATCAAAACAAACAAGGGATGAAAATACAGGAAGCACTGGAAAGAAATTCTCACAGCCGAAGCTTAAGGAAGCATTCGCCCAAGGATCACAATATTAGAAGACGTCTCAGCGACACAAGCAGATCACAGGTGCTATTTCACGCTATATCTGTAAAGGCATGGCCCCCGTTTACATAGTCGAGAAAGACAGCTTTCGGGACCTCGTCCATACACTCGATCCCAGATATGTGATGCCTAGTCGAAAACATTTCAGTAAAGTGGAGCTGCCTGGCTTATATGCTAGTTGTCGGGCTGAAGTGGAGAGAGAGGTACGCAGTGGTGCGACGCATTATGCGTTGACTACGGACATGTGGATGAGTAGAGCAACACAGCGTTATATGAGTCTCACCATCCATTTCATCAAGGACTGGACCCTCCTAGTGGAAAACAAGGTAAGTGAAAGACAAGAGAAAAACCTGGCCTTAGAATTTTATAAAATGTCAATAACAAACGAATATTAAATGATTAATTACTGCAGCGCAATAGCCAAGATTCTATACTGTTCACTGTCATGGCCGCAAATTGCATAACTGGTGTTCTTGGTTTGGGGTTGGGATTCTCATATTAGGAAACAAGATGATGGGTAAAAAATAGGCGATGAAAGATTTTTTTCAACCCTGTCCATCTGACGGGCTATGAAAACATAAAATGCAACATCAGTTGTGGTATATCGTGATATATATCGTTATCGTGATATAAAATAATCCATATCGTGATATAGTTTTTTTTCCATATCGCCCAGCCCTAGCTGAAAGCGTATTATGAAAGCCGAGTACTAGCTGGCACGTCACCCATTCAGCTCGAAGTATTGTACTAAACATCCTTCCTTTTCACGGACAGACTGAACGGCAGCCATCCCAGATCGATAACGTAGAACTCAACTCAGTTCTACACATATCAATCTGGCTACTGCTAGGTTGGCTGTAGTGTGTGAGCTGCGCAGAAAATAATCCTGTTTGAAAAAGGGGTTTATGATGCATTCATAGTGTGTGGGAAAAATAATACTCAATGAAATAGATTCAGACAGCTTAATGTCATGCATATTTGAGTCAAATTTGAGTCTTTTTAACTATTGCGTGTGGGGAAACTTAAGATACATCAAGTATATTCAATATATTGCCCACCCCAAATTGAAATCGTTCCAAAATCTCATTTACACTTTAATTTTTTTGTGTCAAAAAGGATCTTTGCTTGGGTAAAGAAGCCTTGATTGCATCAGGACCTTTCAGATAATTACAAGAGAACACAGGTGGATCATGGAGGCTGCAAACAGCCCTGAGGCGTGGGTATTATGGATAGAAAAAACAAGCAAAAATATTGTTGAACATGAAGATTATCTAGGAAGTGTAGTAGATAAAGATTACGAATGTTAATTTGTTAAAATATAAATTTATTTCACTCTATAAACTGAACTTAACCTAGAATCTGTGGAGTAAAAAAAAAAACAAATTTGACACAAAAAAAGAGAGCATGGCTGACTAAACAAAATAATACCCTATTTTTATGTGTACAATTCCTTTGGTCTCATTATTAACATCTAACTGAATAACCTTCATCCAAAAATATAATAAAGATAATCTGTATGTGTATTATACCAGGGTATGTTTGTTTATTTATTTAATTATCTCTAAATCATTTTACATTAAAAGCACTTGGAACTCATAATTGAGTTGTAATTGTATTATTAATCAAACTAATGTTTAACATTTAGTCTAATTAGAAATAAATGAAAGATTGAAAAAAAAAACTAACAAATTCAAGTGCAAAGGGAAATGGAGGGAACAAAAAGTTCAGAACCAGAGATCCTGATGTAGGAAAATAAACAGCCAAGTCATCAGTCAGACAAAATGAAAATAAATGGCTCTATTCTTTTTATTCTGCTTTTTTTCTTTAGAGACAAAAATCTAACAACCTCTTCTTGAAGATAAATTTCTTCTGAATGAAATATTTTCATGAATGTTTTCAAACAAGCTAAAGAGCAAAATGGGACTAAATTCAGATTTAAACACAAGAATCTGTTCTAAAAGCCTGGATGTCTTTAGATTCTAGGATCGGTGTGTTGGAATAAGAGGAAAATGTGGCTAAAGATAAATGATGAGAAAGGAACTCTAATGGACGATTTTCATTTCTACAGATGATCAGCAGGTGTTGGTGATTAAAGAGGAGCGTCTCTTTGAGAGGAGCTCCAGTGACGAAGAGCAGGACCCAGAGATCTTCCTCATAAAGAAGGAAAAGGAGGAACTCTGGACCAATCAGGAGGGAGAGCAGCTTAACACAGAGGAGGATTGCAACAGCTTCCCCTTGAATATTATTGTGAAAAGTGAAGATGAAGATGAAGAAGAAGAAGAAGAATATCAGTCTTCACATATTTATCGTGGGCAAACTGAACCAGTCAAAGAGACAAGCTGCAAATCAGTTCAGTTTATAAAAACAGAACCTGACGATGAGGACGGTTTCGGAGCAGAATCCACAAGAAAGCTGCGAATAAAAAGTTTCCTTCATATTAAAACTGCTGGAAAAGCTTCCGACTCCTCTGAGACTGAAGTCAGTGATGAAGATGATCAGTGGCAGGAACCGCTGCCAGATTTTAGAGCAGAAGTTGATTCAAATAAGAGCAGAAAACCTGGGTCAGGCGACCCGGCCAAGGCTCTGTACAGCTGCTTCGAGTGCGATAAGCGGTATTTCTACAAACAATCCCTCCATAGACACATGAAGTGTCATTCCTCTAGTTCTGGTAACGCAAGCCGCCCCAGCGAGCAGGAAACCACAGATTCAGACGCAGCAGTGGCGAAGAAAGAGAAAGTGTTCATTTGTGACGTCTGCGGGCATGGATTCAATCAGAGGACAAACCTCACCACGCACAAGAGAGTGCACACAGGGGAGAAACCGTTCAAGTGTGACGTCTGTGGGAAAAGGTTCAACCAGAGAGGGAATCTGCGCAACCACAGGCGAATCCACACTGGGGAGAGGCCATTCATATGCGACTTCTGTGGCGAGAGATTCAGGAATCAAGGGATTCTGCAGGCGCACATGAGGGTCCACACTGGAGAGAAGCCTTTTGTCTGCGGCGTCTGCGGAAGGAAATTTTCCCGCAAGACTCATTTTGAGACGCACATGAGAGTCCACACTGGAGAAAGGCCGTTTAGCTGCGGTATCTGTGGCAAAGATTTTCGGCATAAGCTGCATTACCAGGAGCACACCAGGGTTCACACAGGGGAGCTGCCGTTTCCTTGCGAGGTCTGTGGGAAGAAATTTCGGCTTCAGTGTAATTTAAAAAGACACCTCCGAGTTCACACAGGAGAGAAGCCCTTTAGCTGCGACGAATGCGGAAAGACGTTCAGCTGCAAATCTCATCTGAAGCGACACATAAAGGTCCACACTGGAGACCGGCCGTTCTCCTGCGAGATTTGTGGAGATACATTTGCAGAACCAGGAGCCGTGAGGAGCCACATGCTGGTCCACACAGGGGAGAAGCCGTATGAGTGCGACGTCTGTGGGAAAACCTTCAGGCAAAAGAGCACGTTAACAAGACACAAAGTGGTTCACACAGGAGAGAAACCATACTCCTGTGCTCTGTGTGGCGCAAGATTCACACAGCAGTGTAATTTGAAGACCCACATGAGACTCCACACGAGATGACTTTCTTTAATCTTTAATATGCTTATAAATAGAGATTCCTGCACTGTTCGTGTATGTTTGCAGTGATGATACCCTGAGTAATCACATGATAGAATAATCACATCTGGAAATGTTATTCTACTTTATTTCTATTGTCTGTAATTTGACTGGGACATGATTTTCATGCTTGCCAACTCTCCCAATTTACATGGGAGACTCGTGATTTTTAATGTTATGTCTCGCTGAGGTTCCAATCAGTAGTTTCTGCAAATGTCCCAATTTTTGAGTGTAAGAAAAGCGTATTTGTGGACGCGGGGTACACATGGGACATGACCCCCGCACAGTTTTTCAGCCTGTACAACAGTTAAACTATTGTTAATAAGCATTAACTTCTTTTTCGGAGCTGTCTTTGAATGCACCATGAGCATAAACAGGAAGTTCGACACAGACGTGATGCTGAGTAGTGCTGAAAGTCAGCATCAGAATGTTTATCAAACCCACAGCAAGAAAAAAACACTTTGAAAAGTTTATTTTCAAACAAACTGTGTACATACTTTATTTAACTTTGTCTGCAAATTAGACTAGTTAAATGCTAAGGTATTAATATGTTAAGCTAGTTCACATTAATTTCAAAGGTCGCTACCTCTGTGACATTACTTGGTGTTTTATATTTTTGGAATAAACCCAATCGTCTTTCTTTTCTGGGCAGACTTTGTGCTCACAATTGCTTTCCACATATTTAAAATATGTATTTTGGTCACAGTAGTGAGGAGAGTTAAGAGATTTAAAAAAAATAAATCTATGGCATAGAAGTGACTTTGAGATAAATTGCCAAAGCAATTTTTTTTTAACCATTTCTCTTCCTAATTCTCTAAGTTTGCTTTTCACATTTGAATTCTGTATTTCCATACAAGAAAGAGCAAAGTCAGGAAAGAGATGGACCGGATGCCAGCTGCAGGAAGAAGGATGTAGGGTCTATAAGGAGAGAACTTCCTGACAAAATCTGTTGCAGGGATAAACCAGGCGGGCATTTGGAAAAGTTGAACAATAAAAAAATTGAAGGCAACAAGAAACTGTTATCAAATTAAACAGTTTGTGAAGTTTTTTTTATTTTTTTATTGCATGCATATGAGGCTCAGTAGCTGTGGCCAATTTTCTTCATGGAAACAGTTAATGAATCCTTTAGATCAGTGGTTCTCAACCGGTGGGGATGGGCGACACTTTCTGGGTGAGTTGAGTAGGCTAAGCCATGGAGTGATAAACAAATGGAAAAAAAAGTAATTTACTGCTTTATTTTTTAGCTCTATTTTGTTTCATTTAAACATTATTTTCCTTTAAAGCCTTTTGAATGTCAAAGATACATTTTCAAATAAGTTCCTTCACAGGTTAAATATAACAAGAAAGACATGATCTGTGGGCTGATACACAATGAATTAAAAGCTGTTTTCACCGTTGGCATATGGATTTCCAAAATATAATAAACAGTTTAAAAACAGCTTTGATTGTTATATAACTCATCTGAATGCAGTTATGGAAATAGCCATGATAAAGTCCCGAGTGATGTGAAAAATGTAATTACTTATAAACTTAATGCTTTGGAACAGTTCCTTTGACACATTGTCTACTGCAGATTTTTAATGTGAATAGTTTGTGCGGTGAGCTGGTGGTGTCTTTATTTAGGTGGCTTTGTTTTTGTAGTTTTAGATTTAAAAGAGTGAAAGCAAGATTTTCAAAGTCACTACCCTTAGTGACACTGCCAGATTTGGGGTCTTATGGTGGGGTCTGTAGAGGGAAGATGATTGTATCCTACGATATTGGCATGGCAACCGGATCTTGCTTGTCTCTCCACCTTTTGGGGGTCCGTGGCAGAAAGCACTTTGAAGGCTAGCTGAATTTAAGGTCAGGGTTTTTATTTTGTTACAAGAAATACCAGAGAAAAATCATGTTTTTCAGCCATTGTTCAAGCAAAATCATAGTTCAGTGAGCTGGTTTGTCTTTAAATATTGGAACAAACTGGGATGTATGGACTAGGCTGTCCATGACTTAGGATGTTTATAATCCTAGGTTTGAGCTATAAATCTAAAATACCAACTGCATGGAAAGTGAGTGAAGAACAAACGAAGAAAAAAACAGAAAAAGACCCAGGAAGTTTCTGTGATTCATCAATTAACCACAGATTATTTGCCTGTGCCATATGTAATCATTATCCCTGAAAATGAAACAAGATACATTTGATCTCTAACATTAAGCATTTTTTTAGTAACAAAGGCGACAATTCCTTTTGAGCTGTCAGCTCCATTTGTCCTGCAGTGTCTGTGTGAGCTGCTTCATACAAAGAGAAATATTGAGTTAAATGCAGGCGTGATCCCTGCAGGCGCAGGGGTGGTTCTGTGCCGGATTCACTGAAAAAGGATATTTATTTTTACCATGCCTAAATTCATTTTTTAAAAGTCATCGGGATTATGATTCTGATCCCAAGATTGAATATATCCATCTTGCTTTTTGGACGACAGTAATTTTGTAGGGGGATGTTTAGTGTGCGCTTTCTGCAGCTCCTCACATAGCTTACCATCTGTGCCAGGCGAGACTCACTGCTAAGAACATCTCTGGTTACGTTTCACGCTTTTCATCCCGTCTAAGGCTATCACAGGCGGTCAGGTCTTCTCAAGTAAAAAATCCCAGGTTCAGGGCCTGCAGCAGAAAGGAGACACACACCCCTCTGTGTCCAGGCTGCAAATGAATCGCGCATGCGCATGGTCGCCGCCGTTCCCGCCTTGACTTACAGAGCGGGGTGTAAATGTTCACTCACTCTCACAAAAATAAATCACTGCATTTAAATTGACTCACGACATAGCTCTCCATTCACTCTAGTCTAGTCTCTTGCCAAGTTCGCTTGTGCCAGCTCTCGCTAGTCTGTTATCAATCTCGATTTACATAGGCCTTTACTACACAAACCCCAACAGTCTTTTTAAAGACTAAACCCAGAAACATTCTTTAAGATTAGATCATATCTCAGCCCTAGCCAGTAATTTTGTTAAACTGCTAGGCAGTAGTTACTTAGCTAACTACCCAAACGATACACACACACACACACACACACACACACACACACACACACACACACACACACGAGGACTACAATCGTTAAGAATTAAAATAAAATCTGAATTGTCTGCAAAATAATTATTTTGTTTGGTTTTAATGAAAGATTGTGCCTAAGTCCTGACTGATTAGCCCCTGATACGTCTCTCAACATACACCACACATAGTTACATATTGCCATAGTTTAAACTTTATTGAAAACAAATTAAAATGGAGAAATTTCTTGTGAGGACCAACAAGCCAACCAACGCACCACCAGCTGCAAAAAAGCTTCGCAAGTACGATGAAGCATACCTGCAGTTTGGGTTTACAGTCACGGCTGAACTGAGACCTCAGTGTGTCGTATGTGCCGAGGTGCTGGCAAATGACAGTATGAAGCCCTGCAAATTAAAAAGACACCTCGAAACAAAGCATGCTGGCATTAAAAATAAACCGGTCGAATATTTTAAAAGAAAGCTTGATGGCCTCCATCAGCAACAGGCAACCATTTCAGTGCACAGCACTGTGTCTAAACAGTGTTTGGAGGCATCATATGTAGTGGCCAAAAGGATCGGTAAACTGGGTAAACCGCATACAATCGCAGAGACTCTCATTTTGCCGGCAGCGCAAGACATGTGCAGAATAATGATAGGCGATAGTGCAGCAGCCAAACTCGGTGCAGTACCACTGTCCAATGACACAGTCGCTAGGAGAATTGTAGACATGTCCAACGATATCAGAGAGCAACTGATAGAGTTTGTAAAAAAGAGTCCTTACTACGCGCTGCAGCTGGACGAATCCACTGATGTTGCTGGGCAGGCACAGCTCCTCACCTATGTCAGGTATCTGCGGGACAAGGTGATTGAGGAGGATGTCCTGTTTTGCCGGCCTCTTCAGTCACACACTACAGGAGAAGCCATTTTCAATGTCCTTGACATTTTTATCCGCGAAAATGGTTTGGCTTGGGACCGATGCGTTGGCCTATGCACGGATGGTGCGCAGGCAATGACGGGGCATGAGCGTGGCCTAGCTGCTCGCGTTCAGCAAGTAGCTCCACTTGTGAAATGGACACACTGCATGGTCCATCGCGAAGCACTAGCTGCTAAAAAAATGCCGGTTCTCTTTGACTCTGTGCTGAACCAATCCGTCAAAATAATAAATCTCATAAAATCACGGCCGCTAAACTCTCGCTTGTTTGGGGTCCTCTGCCAGGAGATGGGGTCAGGGCACGAACAGCTGCTTCTGCACACTGAAGTTCGCTGGCTCTCCAGGGGGCGGGTGTTACAGCGGTTGTATGAGCTGCGAGAGGAGGTGAAGTGGTTTTTGACAGAAATTAAATCAGATCTGGCGAAGCATCTGGATGACACTATGTGGCTTGCGTCTCTGTCCTATTTGGTCGATATATTTGACCGCTTGAATGGCCTCAACTTGTCTTTGCAAGGCCGCGAAACTCATATTTTGCTCCTTGCAGACAAAGTGCAGGCCTTCACACAAAAACTAGACCTCTGGCATGGCCGCATCAGTCGAGGGAACTGTGACATGTTCCCCTGCCTTACAGACTTTATAACTGATGCAGGCGCGTCACACGATTTCTCCTCCCTATTTCAATCAGCGTCTGAGCACCTGTCAGCAATGAGAAAACAATTTGCGACGTACTTTAAAGAGGATTATCGCTCTTTTGCATGGGTTCGAGATCCGTTTGTGTGCACAGCAAACGAGCTATCAATTGATTTGCAGGAACAGCTTATTGAGCTGAAGAGTGACAGTAGACTGAAGGAACTCTTTAGCTCCTGTCCTCTTTCGTCATTCTGGGCAGCATTGATGCAGGAATACCCGGAACTCTGTGACGTCGCCTTGAAGATTCTCCTTCCTTTCGCGTCGACATATTTGTGTGAGGCAGGATTCTCAAAAATGACTGCACTCAAAACAAAACACCGCAATCGTGCACAAATCGAGGATGATTTGAGGCTATGCTTATCAAACATTGAGCCAAGAATTGAGGATCTTTGCAAGGCAAAGCAGGCTCAGGTCTCACATTAACATCACCTAATTATATAGCAATAGCCTAGTATTGATAATAGGCCAACTGATGATAATAATAATAACAACAACAATAAAGCATGTAACCTCATAATTATATAGCAATAGCCTTGTAATAATGATAGGCATATACTACTCATAATAATAATAATAATAATAATAATAATAATAACAATAATAATGCCTGCAAGCTCACATTAGAAGTCTGGTGCTACTGCCAATTATAACAATAGCCTAGAAATGATAATAGGCCTACCTACCGCTACTGATGATGGTAATAATAATAATGTGGGCCTAAAAATAATAGCCTAGGGCTATCTATCTATCTATCTATCTATCTATCTATCTATCTATCTATCTATCTATCTATCTATCTATCTATCTATCTATCTATCTATGCAAGGTAGAGCGGGGCGGGGCGGGGGGATGGGGGATCTGGGCGGGGGGCACTGGGGCCCCAACTGCAATGAACCAGCTTTGGGGGGGCCCAGCTTGCAAAAGGTTGAGAACCCCTGCTTTAGATGGTGGCAATCAGTGATGCTGACTTTTTAATTTGATCTGCCATAATGCATACCAAATGCATTGCAGTGTTACTGCTTTATTTTTTAGCCTCATTGTTGTCATTTAAACAATTATTTTCCTTTAAAAGCCATTATTGAATGTCAAAGATACATTTTCAAAATAAGGTTCCTTCACAAGGTTTAAAATATGAGACAAGAAATGACAATGATCCTGTGGGCTGATACACAGATGGAATAAAAAGCTGTTTTTCACCGTTGGCAAGTATGGATTTTCCAAAATATTAATAAACTCACAAATAATCAGCTGATTGATTATATAACTCATCTGAATGCAGTTATGGAAAGTAGCCATTTAGAAAAGTCCTCAGAGTGATGTGAAAAAAATGTAATTACTTATAAACTTAATGCTTTGGTAACAGTTTACCTTTGACACATTTATTTCTACTGCAGATGTTTTAATGTGAATAGTTTTGTGTCGGTGTAGCTGTGTGGTGTCTTTATTATAGGTGGCTTTGTTTTTTGTAGGTTTTGATTTATAAAGAGTGAAAGCAGAGATTTTCAACATGTCACTACGCCTTAGTGACACTGCCAGATTTGGGGGTCTTATGGGTGGGGTCTGTAGAGGGAAGATGATGATATCCCTACCGATATTGGCATGGCAACCGGATTCTTGCTTGTCTCTCTCCAACCTTTTGGGGGTCCCTGGCAGAAAGACTTTGAAGGCTGCTGTATTTAAGGTTTGGGTTTTTATTTTGTTACTTTAATAAAGGTTTAAAATACCGAAGGGAGAAAAAAAATCATTTTTTCAGCCATTTGTTCAAGCTAAAATCATAGTTTCAGTGAAGCTGGTTTGTCTTTAAATATTTGGAACAAACTGGGACTGTATGATAGGCTGGTCCTGACATAGATGTTTATAAATCCTAGGTTTGAGCTATAAATGGCTAAAATAAACACAACTGCATGGAAAGTGAGTTGAAAAACAAACGGAAGAAAAAAAAAGAAAAAAACCCAGGAAGTTCTGTGATTCATCAATTAAAACCAACAGATTTATTTGCCTGTGCCAAAAGTAATCATTATCCCTGAAAATGAAGACAAGATCACCATTTTATCTCTAACATTAAGCATTTTTTTAGTAACAAAGGGAAATTTCTTTTGAGCTGTCAGCTCCATTTGTCCTGCAGTGTCTGTGTGAGCTGCTGTCATACAAAGAGAAATATTCAGTAAAACTGCAGGCGGTGGATCCCTGCAGGCGTCAGGGGTGAGGTTGGCCGGATTCACTGAAAAGAGTATTATTTATTTTTTCACGCATGCCTTAAATTTACATTTTTTAAAAAGGAGCATCTGGGATTATTGCAGATTCTGATCAAGATTGAAATATATCCATCTTCCTTTTGTAGACTGACAGTAATTTTGTAGGAGGGATGTTTAGTGTGCTGCTTTCTGCAGCTCCTCACATAGCTTTACCATCTGTGCAGGCCGAGAACTCACTGCTAAAACATCTCTGGTTACGTTTCACTGGTCTTTTCATCCTGCCGTCTTTAGGTTCTCTATTCATGCATGGTTAAGTGTCAGTAGTGTTTTCATTTAGTTAAAAAAAACTACAAATCCAGGTATTTGAGGGCACCTTTTTAGTCAGCACCCTTAAATCCAGTGCAACCAAATGTCTTCAGAAAGAAAAGCATTAGCAAACAGTTCAGATAGAAAGAAAAAAATATATAGCAAAGACTGAAAACGTCTCTGTTCTGCTGAAGATGTGTTCTGTTGGAAAAATGGGGGAAGTTTAGGAGATAGACCCATCCCCCCTACATTCATTCCACCGGACATTCACAGTAGGATGTTTTCTTCTTGGCATAATGGGAGCTGCAATTGAAAACGACTTCGAAAGAAGGCCATCTGTCTGGAGTGAGAGACTGAAACCAGCCTCTACTGTGGAAACCACCATCAAGCCAGTCCTCACTTTTTTTTTTAAGGTCACTTATACACTATGAAATACGGGAGCAATGTTGGCTTGGATTTTTTTAAATAAAGCCGACAAGTTTAACAATTTTAACTAGAATTATAATTTATTATAATTATGAATTATGAAAATAGTCTCCTGTAAATATGGATTTATAAGAATAATTTTAATGTTTTTGCTTTTTTTATTTAGTGTAGTGTTAGTGTTTTACACTGTTATTTTGTGCCCTTCATTTCAAAAAGCCTATTTTACACAAGTTTCACTGGTTGTTAAACTTTGTGTCCCGTTTCTGATTTCACTTCATGGTGACAGAACACTTATAGATGTTTCTCACCAAATATATTTCAAAATTAAAGCCTATCAAAATTTGTACAATTAGTCACTTATGTTTCTGTGAATATTGCAAAGAAGTACATATTTCTAGTTATTAATTTCACCTCAGGGTGACAGTGGGGCACAGTAGAGTATTTTTCCTCTAAAGAAAAAAGGATGTAGAGACAGTAGAGGGGAACATCTCCCTGTAAACAGGAAGAAACAAGTGGCAGAGACCCCGACTCAATACATGCATTTCTGCAGCATTCTTGCTGGTGGTACGAATGAGTAGTATGCACAGCTCTCCAGATTGGTCTTTTCCTTCCTATGAACCCCTGATCCATACTTTGGGTAAGTCTACATTTAAGCAGACCTTAATGAAGTGAGACCTACAATTCACTTTTAACATTTAAATAAAAAAATTGTAAATATGGCAAAGATTTATCTCCGGTGCCTCGCAATATTTTATTGATTCCCTTCAACTCATCAACCTTTCACTAACAGATTCATAGAGATTAATACAGTGAGGGGATAGTTTTAGTCAGTTAGTAAAACACTGAACCACCTAAACAAACATAACTTTAGATTTACTGAATAAATATCATACAATATGCAAAGTCATACTTCATCCATAATTAAGTCACAGTTACATTTAAATGCATCACGAACAGAGAGAAAATAGGACCAAGTGATAACGTGTGACTTTTTCCACTACAACGTTTTTGGGATGCAAAAATATCACTCTTTTGAACACATGTTTTGGGAAGAGAAACGTTTTATTTCGCTGGGTCTAGCAAACCTGCCGGACTACTTTCGGCTTGACCAAAACTGGACGAGAACTCTGCTCACAGGACGCTGCCAGGGGTAAGTCAGTGTGATTGCATGACACTGGTGATGGGGATGCCATACAGATTCATGTCAAAAATACCGAACTATCCCTTTAATGGATAGGACCCCAATAATCTCTGATTAGTGACACACTGATCTGCCAAATGTGGAGCTCTTGCATTAAGATTCTTAATTGGTTAATATTAGTCTGCATACAATTTAAATAGAATCTTTTTATAGTTGGAGTAATTAATCAGAAAATGTCTTGAGATGACATAAAATAAAGATATAGGAATAAGTTAAATTGAAATAAATGAATTGGTAGAAAGTGGTACAGAGCTGAATAATTGTACCAACCTGTTAGCCCCACTGAGAGGCAGCAGAGAGGAGGATTAAATATATGATTGAGTGAAGCATTGAGAGACGCTCATGAAGCTGGATCAAGCACAGTCATTGTTCTTAAAGATAATGCATTTAAACTTTTCATAGAAAGATATTTAAAATGTTTACCTGATAAAGGTTCATTTTAATTCATTACTTCACAGTAGAACCAAGTCATTCCCCTTAATCAAAACAACTTTCCTCACATTTCTTTAGTTGCCAGTTACCATCTGCAAACATTTGTTTCGCAATCCAAAACTGAACAAGGATCCGCTTTAGATTCCGTGCTGGAAAGATTCCTCAGTATGTCAGATGAGACAATATTCCCACTTATGGGACGGGTGGTGCTTCGATACTGGGTTCAAATTAGTTACTCTGTGTCAACTGCTGTAAACAAAAACATGTTAGCTGAATCCCCTGCTAAGCTTTCACATTTAAGTCATATATACAGAGATGCAGCTCCAAAAGGTTTGTGTAAAAGCCCCAAATGGCCTTGTCTCTCAGTCAGCATGAGGTTGCAATTACAGAGTTGTAAAGTCTGACTCATGGCCTCAGACCCTCCCCGACCACAAGGCACCAAACACATCTGGCTTCATGTCCTCCTCCCTGCCTCACAGCAGGAAAGATGAAACCTGATGCACCAGTGGAGAGGCCCTGGAGATCATGGCTCAATAAAAAGCCTCATTTATCTACAGCCTCAACACTCCACTGACCACAAAACTGAAACCAACGCACTCTTCTCATCTTTTGTTGAAAAGATCTTCAAACTGACTTCTTGTGCCATGGGAGTATTAATCTCTTTAATGTAGATTAGAGGAATGAGACTTATCTTCATCAGGGGTACTTCACAGGTGCATTTTACATCTGGGGACAAACTCCAGGATTCACCCTAATTTGAAGAAAAACAGTCAGCTTGCTTGCTTTTACTTTTATTGACAACTTAAATAGTTTACAGTTTTCCATCCATACAGTAAGAAAAACGCCACCTATGAAATAGGGAAAAATATACAAGATTCAACATCAAAACAGTCGTAACCCACAACCATTTACTTTTTGATTTTAATGTACGATTAAAATAAATTGCACTGAAAAGGTCCCTTTATGCTTCTACACCATGTAGAAAAGTAAATGGTTTAGAAAACTAGTTTGAAGAAAAACTCCCTGATACACCTTTCAGTCTAACAGTTTGATGACTGAAAAATGAAGCCATTTGTAATTTAGGATGACTCATCCGTTTGGATGTTTTACCCTTGACAGATGTCAAACAGAGTATACATGTAAACAATTCCCATTAGATGAATCAGTTCTTGCCGCTTTAGAAAAATGTCTAAAAGTCAATAGCTGGGTTTTCAGGATGTAGAAACGTCCAAAGATTGCCTCAAGAAAACAAAATGCTGGTTCACATTAAAGGCACAGAAAGTTGCAAAGTGGCATCTTAGAAAAATAGGTTTAAAAATCAAGTCAAATATATAAATCCATTTCAATTTACATGGTCAGAGTAAGATTTACAGTCACAGTTAGAGGTCTTCCACAAAAAGTCTAATAGGAAAAAAAAAAAAAAAACCTCCTCCGTATTCATGTTAACGCACCATATAAAACTTAATGGTTTTATAGCAGTCTTTGGTGATTTATTGCTCCAAAAGTGGATCATCAGACAGCTTGATGGTCTTTGTACCTGTAGGCTGAGGAAAAACTGCTGCTTTCCATGTACTCCTGGTTTTTTTTTTTTTTTTTTTTTTCAAATACCTGGAAATAAATATTTCCAATAACCAAAACTACATAATTAGGCTTCAAAGAATTGCATCCATTACTGTCGCACATGATTGCTGTATTTCAAGGAATGTTACATGCTTTCCCCCAAACGTTTCAGAAACTTCAACAAGTTTTGTGCTGGATCAAAGTCCTCTCTTTGGCTATAAACTGATCTTTGGAATCATGGAAAAGGACCTCAGGTTCCCTTAATGAAAATAGAGCAGTCAGTTCAAGTGCTCAGAGGTCAATATCTTGGAAATAAAAACTGTTATTCTTGGATTAGTTTTAATTTTGGCCTCTCATCATTGGAAATCCCTACTTAAAGACACTCGTATTTGATCCAACTGACTACAAATCCCCATATTCTTAAAGTAATTTGTTTCTGCAATGCTTAAAATAATTAACATTGCATTGGTAAATTGTTCATTAATATCTAATGATATGTTTTTTGGATAAGTCATTGCGCAAAAGTGTTATTCATGGGCTTCTCTCAAATAAGCTTAAATTAAACCATAACCTGCCACCGAAAATAACAGAATATGCCAAACGAACACTCGGCAAGGAGAACTAAAGCTGAACCAAGCATTTTTATCTCAAGCAGTTTGTAGAAAGAAAACAATGCAATCTGAATTTTCTGGTAATATTAGCATGCTATTCATTTATTTTTTAAGCATTGCACTCAGAGGTTTTTAGACTTTGATGAAACCATAAAGTTAAAAAAGCAGGATGAAACTTCCTAAGAGGCACCTCATTAGCTAAGGCACTGGCAAAGCTGTTAGCAATACAAGGCGATAACATCTTAAGTGGTTTTTTTATGCTAAAACACATAATTAGAGTTGCGATGACAAGTCAGACGGTGATGTAGCTAACTTGATTCTTGACTGGAAGCTCAAAAGCTGAGAGTCGTAAACTCTATGCTAAGCCCTGCTGGGTTACCAAAAAGTACAAGAAGATGCTAATGCTTTGCAGCAGGACTCAGGATTTATTTGTATTGGTTATCTTTTTGTTTTTATATCGAGTTAGATGAAGAGCAAATGTGAGAAACTATTTATGCAGCTTTCTTTTAGATTTAAAGACCGGGCAACAGATCATGCAGGATGCACAAGAGAGCAACGTTTTAAGTAGATAACAGGAAGGCTAAACGGAATGGAGCTAGATACCTTCCAAGACAGTTTAAAAATGTAAACATCAAAAAGGTTTGCTATTACTGAGCTCATTTACAGTGCAATATCGATTTGGCTTATGGAAATCATTATTTATAGGAAGGCTAAAGCCGTTGTCCAGATTCGCAACTGGCTGAGAAATAACAGAAGATCAATCCTTTAAAAAAATTGGAAATCAGTCTTAAAACTGAAATAGAATATGTCTCACTATAATTATTTTTGTGTAATAATTTGAAATATTAATCTTTTTAGTACTTGAATAAATACTTTCGGATGCTGAATTCTGAGGTCAGTAAGGTATAAGCAGCAGTTCAAGGAGTTTAAGCTTCAGGAGCTTTTCCAGTGGATTTTTCTAAAGACTCAGAAATCCAAAGGCGGCCATAATTATCATCATTATTATCATTATCATTAATATTATTAATATCATTATCATTATTATTATATATTTTTAAAGTAGACAAAATGTTGTAGCATCCTTTCCTGGAGTGTTTTTAGAAGAAAAAAAAAAAAAAAAGCCCAACATGATTTAGAAAAAGTCTAGCAAATGAGGGGGAACTCATCCTCTTCCAGGAACAACTAAACCAGCCGTTGCTTGGAAGGAAAAAAAAAAAAACATTTCTTCATCGAAACAAAACTTTTTATTTTGTCCGTCTCTCCAGGAGCCATGAAATTACTTCAGTGGTTTTTCCTGCCGCATGTACAACTTTATGAGACCCTCCTTGTGTAGCCGCTGCCACACATTCATCTCCATACGCATGTCATGGTTGACGAAGAAGCCCACCTTGTGATATGTTTTATCATAGTAGTGGTCAGAGTAGTTTGCGTAGTCTGGCGTCATGAAGCCGTACGCACTCACCTTCAGAAAGAACAAAAAGTCACAATTTAACTGCAGGCAGGAACAATAAAAATGCAGGCTTTTAATAGTTTGTCTTGACCTCCATTTCCTGCTGCTGAAGGGTTGAGGAAGGGTTCATGATAAAGCGTGAAATCTTATAGACATAGAATCTTTCACACAAATAGAGAAAGTCAGAGATCTAGAGAATGTCAACACAAGCTTAAAAATTAACAAGAAACCCATTGCTGTGCAGTCACTTCATAGCTCAAAACAAACATTTACACAATGTATGCAAACACATATGCCTCTCTCACGTCACAGCATCAGACTATATTCCTACCATTGAAGGCAATTTGAATAATAAATTCTTTCCTTTTGCCAAATGCAAGAGTAAAGAGTGTTTTTTTTCCACCATACTTTAACTTATAGAAGTTGAATTATTTTTCTTTAGTTTGAGGGTGGCTTGAAAAGAAAATAATGTTAGTGCAAGTAAACTTAAGTTTTGGGAAAAACAAAGAAACTCAGCTGAGATTAGATGAAATACTAATAAAATGATGTAACATGGGAAACAGTTTTGTAGTTGAAAACAATGTTCCTGACTCCTACCTGGTCACAGGAGTGCAGTGCAGCCAAAAGCATGGCAGCCCCCGTCGATGGTCGGTAGATGCTCTTATATTTGGTGTTCAGAATGTTTGATCGAAGGAATCTGAAACAGGAAATTGCATCAATCTGTCATGAGTTGCAGAAATTTGTTTCATTTGTTTCCCCAATCATCTCTGGCTGTCGATATTCACACACTTCAGTGGGATTTAAAGTAATCAGGAGCTTGATTAGGTCTTGCATGTTTTTCATCCATCTCATTTTCACTTAAAGCACCAGGTTTTGAGGGCACTTACCTGTTTCTAAGGTAACGAATAAAATCTGGGTGGTACATCTTCAGCTTTGCTGCAGAGACATCCTTTCCAAAGTACTTTGTGGGGCTGTAAAAAAAAAAAAAAAAAAAAACTAATTGTTCATCTTAAAAAAAAAAAAGCAGACATGACAGCTTTGGGATACGTCGATGGCTGTCCAGTTAAAGCTGGATCATTACACACTGCCGTTTACAGTATTTCTGTGCTGAACCAAAACAAGACAAGTGGTTTGATGCCTTTCAGAGTGCATCTTCATCTCATAAAACATTAAAACATTTCCTCATGCCCACTTTGATGACAAGTTTAAGTACGTAAACCTTTATTTTGTATGCTGTGGTGTAAGGTGCAATGATTTAGAGCTTCACAAAAAGAGCTCTGCATGATCGACCCTCAGCACCATGGACAGAACCACAGCAAGATTTAAAATGATTGCTGCACCCAGGTATAAAAATTCAACTCAACCATAAAAGAAAAGAACGTCATCCAAAAGCAAGGAGGAAAAATCTTTTTTTCAACATGTTGGAGATTGTCTGACATGAATTTACTCATCAGAAAACTATCTCAGCCCTCACATTAACCGCAAATAACGTGTCCCTTAAGGAGTTTAAACTTTGCTCTACATCCACACACATTACTGGTAGCTTTATATGAACACAAAACTGATTTCGGTGCCTTTTTTCCTGACAATCATTAAATGTGCTTCTATGACTCACTTCAGCTGGAGGTGACAGGAGGTTCAGTTCAACTGATAAAAACCAAGAGTCAAATAAAAACGGGAAAACAGGCTTCAGGAAGCCATGTCAGCCTTTTCAAATCCATACTGCAGCCAGAACACTGCAAGACCTTTATAATTCAGAGATTCACCTTATAACCATAAAAAAATAGCTGGTCTTCTGTAGGGTCAGCAATTATGTACAGAAAAACCATGTACTTGCAAACTGAGAAATTAATCTCTTATACAAACTGAAAGTGATTGTCATTGGGGGAAGCTCCTTTCATTCTGTGGAAGGCTGCTAAGAAATTAGAAGTTTTAACCATTTTAAAGAAAACCCTTGTTTATTACTACAGTTTTGCATTTATTAACAAAAAAAAATCTTAGGTTCTACAACAACCCAAATCTGGGGTTAAACAATCAAGCAAATGAGAAGCAAGGAGGATAATGTGAGAGAGAGTCTGACAAATCTACTGAGAATCATCGTTACCATAGGGGACGCTTATTTCTCCAGTTTCATCATGTTGGCTTTAGCTAATTTTTAACAAACAGTAAAATCGACACAATGGTTGTACATTTTAGGACTTCAGATTTACTTAACTTTATAACACTGTAAAATATCAGATCCATTTAAATGTGATCTAGTGGAACTAAAAGGGAATAAATTTTTAAGCGCATTTAATCATGAAGGCGTCACGTCAGCTACAAATCAAAGTTTAACAGACGTGTTGTTATTATTATCATCACAGTGGGGATAAAACAACCAGGGCATAAGCTCAAATTATTCCTCTATTAAACCGTATTATACAAGTCAATAAAGATAAAACAACAGTTTTTATCTTTATTGACTGTCAAGTTTTAAATCTGGCGTTCTGCAAACAGACCAGTCATTAACTGAAACTAAGAACAGGTTTAAATACAAAGCAAAAAATTGGTTCTTTTTTTAAGCCAATGAGATCCCTGCCAACCTTAAAAATCAATGAAGCAGCTCAAACCCAACATTCAGATCAGTTAGGCTTCATCTGGGAAACGTTACTCACTCGTTGCCTTTGTCATGTCCCTTCTCCACCAGTATGTGTGTGGCCGCTGCCTTCATCAGCAGGTAGTCCCGGTCATGATCAGGCAGGAAAACATAACGTGTTTCCTGTGATGGAGCAGCAGGACGTTAAGTGAGCACAAAACTAAGAGGAGAGACGCTTCAAATGGGTCCTCACCTGGGACACAGGGGGTCCATAGTAGCCGGCACCAGCATAGCTCCTCATGGAGTTCATTAGTGTGTTTGTGGAGAAGGTGTAGTGGGTGGTCCGGGACCCCACATCCTCCTCGAAGCCTTTAATGACCGCTCCGTTTGTTCTGGAGAACCACAGAAGTCCAAAAATAAGCAGAGGCAGGAAAAAGAAAATATCAGTATGTCGCAATAAAAGGCAGATTTATTTGGAACGGGGTTTGGAGCTTTCTTAGAACATCACAGGCAGCTGGGGGAACTTCAAACTTTAAGTCCACCCAAAATATTAACAGATCTCCATGCTTAGTCATGTCACATCTTTCACACCAGAATTACATTCTTTGATCAGTTATCACCTATTATTTATGACTCAGTTTAATTTTTTTTTTATTCCTTAAGCAACAACCAACTTTGATTAAAGAAAAAACGAGTCAAACCGTCTCAGCTGGGTTTATAAGCCCAGGGGTTACCTGAAGACATAATGATGGCCGTCGATCTCCTTCCCTTTCTTCGACTCCTTTAATATCCCACCGTTTCCCACCACAGCACAGCTGCTGCACTCTGATGTATTTTTCCGGGTTTCCCAGTCATCCAGCATCCTCCAGTTTGCAGACGAGTTTAGCACAGACAGAGTGTCCTTCAGAGCTGAAGAGAAAAAAAGCAGAATTTATCTGAAATGATTTAAGAAAAAAAATAATTCAGATATTTATGGCTTAATCTAAAAAAAAAAAATAATAATAATAACGTTTCTTAATTTATCAAATTATTTGGTTTCATGTTTTATTCCAGCAGAATAACTAGACTGACCTTTGCTCTGACTAGATATGAGAGAGTTAATTTTAAAAATAAATGAATATTTTTACCCACGTTTTAGCCATTTTGTTTTGTTATCCGCACTGTTTTATTTATCTATTTTTTTGTAAAGCATTTTGTACACTGGTTGTTTTTAAGTGCTTAATAAAATTGGATTGGATTAATTTGATGAGATTAACTTCATTCTGATACACAGCTGTTTTGTTTGGAGTGAAAGTTTGCCGCAGATGTTGTAAAATGTTTTAATCAAGGTATCACACTGTGGAAACGGAAGGAAATATTTGAAAGTAAGGATAATCATTATGGCTTAAAGCCCTGCAGATGTAATCCCACGGCTCAAACTTATGTTTTGATCAAATGCATTTTAGCAGGACGTAATGGATAAACACCAGGAATTACATGATTGTGAAGTTGTTTTGTTAATCAGCTTCAAAAGATATGTCTTTTGAATTTTCTGCTTTACTCAGATTCCCTTAAATGAAAATTCAAAATGTCAACTGATCAGTAAAAGCTACCTGCATCCATTAGATAAAAATGTTTTAGAGGCTGGAATAGACTTGACTATGGCAGAGGTTTACCTTTTTGCAGGACAGCAAGGTAACGTCAAACGCTGAACTCCACTGATCCCGTCGGAAAATTGGGTTTGAATATTAGAGGTTGTTTGTTTAACTAACAGCTTTGATAGCATTGGTTTGCATTGATTTCCATAAATGGCACCCATTTGTGTTTTTATTATTCAGCTGCAAGGTGTCATGTGTGCTGCCCTCCTCCCTTATTTCAAGCTCTTGCTTTGATCAGTAGTGAAACAGCTGGTGTGTTCTCAGTGAAAGCATGACTTCAGGTAAATGTTAGTTGATATTAAATAAGTTGTACACAAGATTTTACTTTAAAATGAAATCTTTCATTTCTTTAAAGTGGCTAAAAGATGAGGAAAAAAGCATTTCACTAAAGATAATCAAGCTTTATTATTTAATTTAGAAGAACTTTTATGTGAAGTTCTGATCAACCCCAGAAACTGTTATAATCTTAAATCTTTCTCAAACGGTAAGTTTCCAAAAAGACATTTGATGAATATATTCATGAGAGATTTCAAAAATTTGATTAATGCTGATGATATACAAATATTATCCTCCTTTCTTGAATATGCTTGTTGCTGTGAAACAAAGCAGTCTTCGTCTGCAGCATCCATTAAATATTGCCATGGAGAAAAAGACCGTGACTTTTAGGGATCAAACATAATATAAAGCCTCAACCTTGACATTTCTGGAATCATCTATCTTTATGTTATTCTTTTATCAGTATTTAGATTTCAGCTCTTAGGAACTATATACAGAAAATAGTATTTATGTTTTACTTCTAGTAAAACTGGATCTTTCTTTAGTTTATCATTTTACAAATTAGACATACTCAGAATTAAACTGTAAACAAATGAAGCAGCTGATTTAATAGCCATTAGGCTACTTATTTCTTTTTAATACTGCACCCTAAACAACTCAGAGCTGAATTAGTGGGTGAATTGGTACTGAAAATATGGCACCAGTAGATTCTTTATATTCCCCTAGTTTATTGAGCAACACTCAGTTTGTCTGCATGTAGAAATAGACTTGCAGCCACGTGATGATCTAAAGGACCTCTAATGTGTACATCAAGAATAAATGGTTTGCTTTTGACTAATTAAGATGCATATTTTATTTATACATTGATGGATATCCAGCTAAAAGCTCCCAGGGAGGATTTCTCCCATTTACCATCACAACCAAGCTTTAAGCTCAGGTACCGTTCATCTACTTTCTGTTCCTCATTATGACCGCAGTGATGCTCAGTAGAGCAAACCACTTCACGTCAGGCTGCTTTAATAGACAATTGGCTGTAACTTTTATTTCTGGTCTGGATATTGATGTTTAACCGACATCTTTGGTCTGTGTTGCTCTAGTTCTTTCTGTTCCTCGTAAAGTCGCACTGGCTTCTCCAACTCTGCGGATGTCAACGCAGCTGCTCTGAAATCATCAGAGTTCCCAGCTGCTGTGTTATTTTTTTTTTTTCTTCTCCTGTAATAGACAGGCCACCATCCCTGGAATAAACAGCTGTTCTGCCCCTTAAACATCAGACAAACTGCCAGTCCGTCTCTGTGTGATCGTAGTTCCACAGTTGCACTGCAGCGTATGGGGAAAAAAAAACATTTTTCCTGTCTTGCTTTTTCTTTATTAATTTTCAGGTTAATGTGGAGAGGCTGAAGATTACATGAAATACAGCAAAACTAAGTTTTTGATATAAAAATTGGGCTTAATGTGTCTAACAGACATTTCCTTCACTTTTTAACTTTGGAGATCAGAAAGGAGATGAAACAGAGCCATGGAAGCAAACTGCATCTCTGGATGTTTTATTCAATGGCAAGGCTTGGTCCATTCTATTATGGAAAGGGGGGCACAGAAGTTGATTGTTTCACGAGTCCCAATTTGTTATTGTTTTGATGCCAAGTCCTTATTTTAAACATGCATCAATATCCTAAGAGTGCTGTTAGAGGAGTCAACAACCAACAGGCCGCTCCCTCACAGGTGGGGTCACTTGCTGGTTCAGGGCCTCCTTTGCCTGTATAATAAATCCTCTCCCGATTGTTAAATTGGAGGACTTTCCCGAATTCAGAACGATAACATTCAGGAATCTGTTGTGGGCTTCCTTGGCAGATTTTCTTTATACAGTTTATAGTTATATCAGAATATCATCTCAACTGAAAATATATTGCAATACGTTTTCTGTCCACTCTTGCCTACAGTACAAGAATATAAATCAAATATAAAATCCAATTAACTCCCTTTACATGGTCTCAATGGTTAAAAACATTTGTTCCGGGTTTTTTTGATGCAATACAAATTTTGTTTGAAGAGAGATGAAACTTCCTTCCAAGGATCCACATCTGATCTAAAGCAATCAGTGGAAATGTTCTAAGCATAGAAGAGCGTTCTAAAGAAAGTCTTAGTGGTGAACATGTGTCAAGCACAATATCCTCTGAAGATTTTAAGGACATTAAAGCATCCCCTGATCCCAACCCTCAAGTCAGAACTTGTCAAGCAGGTGATTTGACCCTTTACTGATAACTCAATGTTCGAAATTTCATGTGTAACAAAAGAAACTAAATGTATGGCATCTTCTCAACCCTTTGAAGCCGATTTTAGACATTTTAAAATGAACTTTGAGTCAAACCTGTTCTGCTCTGACGAACTATGCCTTCAAAAATGTTTCTGTCTGGAGAGCTGGTTCACCCTGTTGTAAACTATCAACCACAAGAAAACTTTAAAAATTTGCCACGGGTCAAAAAACAGCAAGATTATGAGGAAAAATTGGAGCTCACTGTCGTAGTCAATGCCTCCCCAACCGTGTGTTCCTGGATACTGTTTCAGACGCTGGTGCTGTTCCCGAGTCGCGTGTTGGGCCCATTGCAGGACGGGAATATGCTCCAGGAACAGCCCTCCGAACTCGGACTTCTTTATCCGACTTCGGATACCATCTGGGCAGTCCTGTGAGGAGCAGAGAACAGCTGTTAGCAACAATATGTGCAAAAACTCTACAACTGGAGTCACTGCGTTTTTCATCAGTCAGCAGTTCAAACATCCCCAGTAGAAACCTGAACATGGTAGGATATTCCCATGTGCATTGCTGCTGCTAATTATATGGCTCTGACAATAACGTAACCAGGAGAGAGAGAGAGAAAGGTACACAGGTTAGAAAGGAGCCTCTGTCACTCAGATCAGATAACATCTATCCCACCCCCAATCAGCTACAACTGCTGTTTAAGAGGAACAAAAGTAGTTCCGACTAGAATTGACTTAAAAATGAAATTTACAAAGAGAGCCAATATTATTGCTTTTCTGGTTTATTTAGTATAAAGGTTCAAAATGGCTGAATTCCCTTTGAAATAAAACAAATCTGCTCTCAGTGGGTATAAAGATGTCAGCAATAGACAATCTGATTTGATCGTTTCATGCATTGAGCTTTACATATAATTTATGATCACAGTTCCTAAGACTGAAGATTAAATTTTGTTTTATTTGCAAGAAGCTCCCATCAACTAAAACCTTTGTGGGGAGAAAACTAAAATTTAAAAAGAAAAAAGCACAAGGAGGTTGAATTTCACACTTTGCTTCCTGAGGAAGGAAACAGGAAAATGCTGTAATGAAAGTGGGTCTTTGGAGAATTTAGTCACATTAAAAAGTGTGAAAAGGAAGAAGTCAAAACTAAATAAACATGAATGAGTTCATGTTGGATTTGTTTCAGAGATTATCTAGGCGTGTGTCTCTCAGCTGGTCGTTAATATACAGATCCAGACACCTACCTTTAATTAAATCTTATAGAAACAAGATTTTTTGCACCATTTAGGTTCTCTTTTTTTGTCTAATTTTACTACCCATCTAAAATATTTTATTTCCCGATTTGTTAAAGCCCGGAACATGTACAGAGTACATGTTAATGCGTATGGTGGACATTTTAGGATGTCTTTAGCCCTCAGGAACAAACCCATCGCTTCTCAGACTTTCCCAAACACCCAATAACATTTCCTCTGATCTGAGGACGTCTTAAACTGTAAGTCTTAGGCATGACTATAATAAATATTAAAAGTTTGGTTAATGTTTATATAGATTCCTAACTTTCTTGATAACAAGACAATGACAGTAGCTTTGATGATGCATTTCCAAGGTGCACAAAGAACAGAGAGGACTTAATCTTTAACAAACAGCCTGAAGCACAAACCAGTTGAACAAAGTACTTGTAGCCACACCATGACCACACACAGCAGGACATAAAGAAGAAGATAAAGATCCTGACAAGACAGAACATGTGACATTTACAAGCTACAAAGTTCTCAACCTAAAGATTGCTCTCCAAGCAGTTTTTCCATCACTGTAAACATATGCAGTTTGTCAATAGTTAAAATTGATTCTCCCAAAACACTTTTCTTCTAGTTTAAACCAGTTGAAAGTTACAAAGAGACTGTGAATGACAGCTTGAGACCAGACTATACGTCACTGGAGGACATCTTCCATTACTATTAAATCAGTAAACTACTAAATTCTGTTAATTTCAACTTGTCTGTAACTCCGCTGCCCAATATATCCAAGAGTTCCTGGTAAACGGTTATCTACACATTTTATATCGAGAAACGATCAAGGGAGGAAGTTTAAAAACCCTCAAAGGGAGGAACTGTTTTCTTAGAGTTTTTGCACAAAATGATGCAGAAAATGTATTTTAAAACAAGATACAAATTTCCCTTGAGTGAGAAGCTGACTATTAACAGTTTTAGTGAGAAGCAGGTCTGTAAAACATTAACTGTTGGTTGACATTTGATGCAGGTGTGAGGAGCCAAGGAAAGGAGGGGGAGGGAGACCAGCCTGTGACTTTGAACATTGACATATCCTGCTTCTTTATTTAAATACTTTTGCAAATAAAGGATAAAAAGGATATCGTTTAAAGCCAAATCTTTCTGATAAATATTAAATCCTGAGCCAACTCACCGTTTGTGGAGGGATGTTCTCAGACATATAGGAATCTCCAATGTAGGGTGGCTCTGTGGGGCCCCGTGGTTTGATAAGATTCCCAGGCAGAGCCACAGGGCTTTTCTTGGCTTGGTCTTCACCTTTAGACCTTGAACTGGGCTTTAAGGCATCACTGCTTTGGTTTTGAGCTGGTTTTGGTGGTTTGGTGACTGGGTTAATCTTTAAAGCTGCATACTGTACCGCGGCGGTGGGATTTGGCTGGCTGAGGTTGCTCCATTTGGGTGGAGAGGTGTTAGAGGTGCTGTGGAAGATTAAACCACATGTTATTATCTGTGCGTTGGTTCCTAAAGGAACTTGACACACCCTAAAAATACATGTAAATGATCCTCGTTTTCTACAGATGTCAGCTGGTTCTATGGTAAACAGCTGGTTCATTTATGGTGCTTAAACAATTCAAAGAAACCCAAATTGTTTTACACCATGTTTTGCTACTGTATAAATGGACAAAGGCGTCGATTTTTTTCTTTTTTGTTCACATGTCACTGAGTGGCTTCATATTGCCTCTAAACCCCTCGAAAACTAAACGCGAAAACGGCGTTTCGAAATCTTCCCACTCTGAAGGCTGAATAAAAAAAAGATCGTTTACAGACCCCCGAAACGCCGGCTTCGTGTGGATGAGAGGTTGGTTTGGTGAAAAATTTTTGCGTTTAGGCCAGGGTTCGTCTTCGTGTGGACGGGGCCTATGAGATGCAAATAATCCTAAACTGCTTGTGACTTCCTGACTCCTTTGCATGGACATGGTGGAAGAGTGGCAGCAACTTTGGATCAGTTTGCATATCTTTGCATAAAGGTTAATCAATCCTAGTCTAACCTGCACTCTTCTACTGTGAAGAATAGAGTCATGCCTTGAGTTCTTTCAAAGAGGATGCAATATACATTAAAGCTAGATTAAGGGCTTAGCTGTAATAACACTGCAGAGGACCAGAAAACAAGCTCACTTAACTTTTAAGAGTCTTACTGTGGCTCCCTGTTTTAGTTCATTCTAGTGTGATTTGTAGGACATTAACAGTCTCAGTACAACTGATTTAGCAGATATGATTATGCTACAGAACCTCCAGGAACAGGTCTTGAACGACGGGTCCATATACACATATATCAGCTGTCAACAGGTCAAGATGAGGTCTAAAAACATTGCTCTAACAGGTAGGACTTTATCGTCTAATGGGTTCCTTGATATTCAATGTGTAATGGAAGAGAGAATCAAACCAAGTGGCCGTTTGGAGCTGCTTCTGATGTTATCGTCCCATTAAATGGTTGTTATTAGAGGCCATCAGTCCCATAGGGTGGCTTCAGATTGTACCCGCTACCTCCCACTAGGCTCACAGTAAGGTTGTATTACTGAATGAATGCTGATCCTAAACCTCAAGTAGTTCCCTTTTCTCCATTGAATTGATCAATTTGTGTAATCTGAAAATTCCAGTAGTTCATGTATTGTTTGTAAAATTCTGTGTGTTTTTTTGTTTTTTTTTTTCAAACAAAAAAGAAATCTCAGTCAACTGAGTTGTTTTTTTTTTTTTTAATCACATTGATTCCGTGTGACTGAAGAGTATACTTCATTCAAAGTAAAGCTTTAAACCGTAGTTTGATTTTTTAATAGGTAAATTGTGAATAAAGTAGATAAAAACGATAAATTAGGTAAATAAAGCCGTTTTAGAGGCAGCCGTTATCAATGATAAACTGCACAGCCTGAAGCCAGTCTATGGGCCTGTTGCCGTTTGACCATGCAGTTTATTTTCTTTAATGCCATTTTTACACACACACACACACACACACCGATGTTCTCGTACTGATAAAGTTCTGTTAAATAAGTCTGTAAGGTTGCAAATGTGAGGATGGATAAGGTTGATGTATGTGATTGACTGCGAGGTGAAAGAGCAGTGCTCATAAATATAATTTTTAATTTTCTGAATATGAGGTAATCATTAATTCTTTGTGAATTAATGCCAATCATTCTTTATCAAGATCCTCGTCAAAAGGATATGCAATATATATATTTTCAAACCTAATGTGTCAAATGGTGCGTTCACACAGCTAATGGTAAAGCCAGTTTATTCTACAGAAATTGCTACAGCGTTGAACTATGAATTCAGCAAAAACAGAATATCTAAGTTTTCTCAAATTCACCTGTTAACATTTCGGTAAACGTAGGGTCCAGCTGTAGCAGAAACTATAAAACACTTTTTTTTTTCCTTGGTAAAAGAACAGAATGCTCCTTAGGCACAATCCTCTACCATTTTTGATGAAACCTTGAAAACATGCCAGAGCTCCAGTTCCCCTCAGCGGTTCTTAATGCATCTGTTCAGCTTGCTTTTAGAGCCCATCAGAACAAAGCTTACATTTCATGTCCCTGTGCGGGAAACGACCTGCTGTCCTCTAACTCCAGGGGATTTTTTTTCATTAGTGTAGCAGAGTGCTGTATGGTTCCTTTGTTGGAGCCACAATGATCCAACATGGGGTGGGGGGTGGGGGGTCCACGCTAAAAGCTAGTTATAGAAACCCTTCATGATGCAGGTGATCTCAGAGTTTGTCCCTTCCACTCTGAGCAAAACAAAACTCAATGACAGCTTAATTTTTCCATAAGGGCCAAAGAGGAAAACACTTAATTCAGCATCTTTAACATTTTGATCCCATTTCCTTCTTGCAAAATCCAAAAACCTGAACGGAAAGAGGTCAACTCAACCAGCACTAACTTTTGAACTTTCACTAGTTTTGTTTTTTAAAACACATTTGTTGATTATGCATCAATTTACAAATAATTGAATGACACCTCCGTCATGGCCTGAAGGGTCTGTATCGCTTTCCCTGGCACCAAGAAACTTTGAGGGTGGCGGCATCAACCTTGCCCCATAAACATTAAAAAAAGAGCAGACTGCTTTACGGCATACGCCCCCCGCTTCCGTTATAAAGACGGAAGTCAATGCAACAAAGTTTCCCTGAGAGACTGTATATTGCTGCAAATTTTGCAGGGTTGATGGCAACGCAGGCAATGCACCACCTTCCTGCTGGGATCTATACGTGTGCTTACTGTGAAGTTATTAAACATATTTGTTTCAAGACTCTAAACTTGTCAGGACATTGGTTGCTGTACAAACTAAACGTTTATTTTCAATATCATCATATGACATTGTTTTGCCACAGTTAGATTCATTACCTCATCGCCGTTCATCTTTTAAACAGCCACTGGAAAGAAATCTAGTTCAATCCAACCACAAACAACAGGGTCATCAGGACTATACCATGCTATAGTCTTTACCACGCTAGTCCTCTTGGGAAATGAAGTCTTCCTTCAGGTAAAACTATACAGCCTGTATCCACTGGGGGAGCCAAACTCCAAACTGACCAAACAGAGAGTCCTTTAGTACCGCTTTAAGAAGTGGCAGTTTATGTCCAAATATGAAACTGAACATAGGAAGTCCAGGTCGCTTTAAAACACAATGCATTTTCAGACAAACCAGAGGTGATAGTAATGATTAAATGACTGAGGCAAGAAACATTAAATTATGAGAGGAAGAAACATGGCTGATACCTCTCTATAAATTGTATCCATCAGCAGCACGATAAAAAAAAAAAAAAAAATTATGCATTCATTCAGGCAGAAATCTTCCAAGGACTGACATTGAGAAAACGGCAAAATAAAAAAGATAAATGCAGTTATGTCGAAGGCCTGTCTCTGATTGACAGATTAATCTCTGATTAAGGCAAGCTGATGTCTGCCATTTCTGAACAGCAACTTGATAACTTAACACAGCCACTCCACAGCAGTTCAAAGGTCCGGGCAATACAATTAATTTTGGCTTTTATATCCCGTCATGACCAACCTTGCTTCCTATAATATGTTCAACAAACTGCCCATTATATAAGAGCTCATCCGTATGTTTGAAAATCTGAACAGCCCAAAAAATTTAACAGTCATGCAGCAGGTTGAACAACTTTTAAGAGAAATGAAATGCAAATATACTGGGTACAAACAGGATCATTATGTATACACAGAACTCTTTAATTAACACATCATTGGACACCCACATGCAATTATATCATTTATAAAATTTGAAAATGTTAAACGGTTTGGTTAACACATTTAAATAAGATGGATTTTATCCAGATTCTACTTTCACCGAGTATCGATTCCACCACAGAAAAAAAGACGTCTGCTTAGAAGGTGTGATTTTAGGAATGTCTGGAGCAACCAATCAATATTGCAAAAGACAAGGCTCACACATTAGTTGCAGCAGCAATAGAAATAACAACTTTGATTTTGAACTCTTTCTATGCCTCTACACTAAACTAGTGGTTCCCCACCCCGCTCCTCAGAGACCCCTGCCGCACGTTACACTTTTGTTCCAGAACACCGATTCAAACTAGGACTCCTCCCCTTAATCAAGTGCTGCAAAAGCCTGCTAATCATTCATTCTTTACTAGTGTGATGCAGCAAGGAAGTGGGAAGTTAGGAATGACTGTACAAAACCAAATAATGATCTCTATGTATTCACTAGATTGGTGATAGCCCGTTGGTAGTAGGGGGTGGAGTGAAGCCACCGTCCGCCATATTGGTACTCCCTAGTTAGACCTCTCGCAATGTAAACAATATGTGCGCAACAGCATCGAACAACAACGATGTTCTCATTTTCAGGGGGACTTAAGACTTTTAAAAGAAAGAAATTCATCACTTTGACACACACTTGGTGTTTCATAGCATAAGTAGATTCCTTAACTTATAATAAAAAAATTTTAAAAAGCCACATCACATTGCATAGTCATTATGAAGTCTATAAATTATGTAACATTATACAAATCCATTACAGCAAAATTAATATGTTAATGGAGCACAATAATACAGATATGCCAAAAGTGCTAAATTGATGTTGTACATGTAATATACATGTAATGATGACATTGTCGTTTTTGTAATGTTTGTATTTCTCATAGCAGTGTCTTCCACTTAATATAGAATTACCACACGGACATTTCACAGTGAATTACTTTCCATTTTCTAACGTTAGACACAATGTCGGTGGCTAATTCAGTCAATCGAGTCAGTCCGAGATTGCGAGACTAATGTTACGCTACATACTATATTGGTGTAAATAAGGTTTCCTTGGTTAGTACATCCACTGACTGAAGTTACCTGTGAAACGTCTTCCCACAGCCAGCAAACTGCTTGTTTTTGCAGCCAAATGCTACACACGTAGGCCTTTTTATGGCGCGTCTCTGCGGGCGTGGGGAGAACCAATATTGCGGCCAGCAAGTTCACTTTTCAGGCTTTCAGCAATCCAGCGAATAAATAGAGATGAGTGAAACCAAACAGTCAGCAGAATAACTTGTGAGGATCAGCTAAATGTCCTCACATTACAATAAAATTTCCTGATCATTTCAGACAAGAGTTCCAGACAATTAGAGGCTTTGAACTCAAGAGTCCATTGGCTGAGCCACCCTCATGCACTTCCAAAAGACAAAATACTTTACCCCTGTATCATTTTGAGTCTTCCCCATCACCCCTTCATTTATTTCCATCATATCTGCTGGGTTCAGATTTTGTGACTGAACAGGCATTACGTTGTGTGATCAGTGAGCACTCACCTGATTCCCCCATGTTCCCCAAAACCGTTGGGTCTACCACGGGGATAAGGGAAGGGAATCTGCATCGTGTTAGACAGCATGTAGACTAACAGGAGGCAGACGGCGGCCCCCACAGCCACCAGCAGTTGCCTCTTCAGGGCCATGCCTTTTAGGATGCAGTCTCTGGGCAACAGGCTGCGAGTGCTGGCCGGGCCCTGCATGTCGCCTGCAGGAGCATAGGGAGGGTTTTTTCTGGTCAGGCCAGCAGATGTAAAGTGATGGTGAGGATCTCCTTCCACAATATGACCTCGACTTCTCCAATGACGACCACAGAGACAGAGATAAATAACAGAGTTAAAGGGGAAAAGACTCGGCAGTAGGGAAACTTTCTCTCAGCAGCAACAGAACATCAAAGAATCAATTTTAAAGAAACATTTGCTCATGGAAAGGTGAGCAGATTGAACTCTTAACTAAACTGTAGCTCTTCTGATTAATAATAAAAGAGCTCCACTCTAGCTGTCGTCAGCTGCTGTGTCGAGGCAACAGCAGGAAACCAGAAATGATATCTTTGAGAGACACTCGTGTGCTGCTAAGTGGGTTTGGAGGTGTCAAAAGGAGAGCTGGAGGGATCTACCAGAAAGTCCTTGATAAATGCCTCACCAGAAGAATGGAGGGGGGAGTGGAAGGAATGTGTTAGGAGGGATTTGGTGATAATCAGAACAGCAAACTCAGCTTCCTTGAGAACAAAACAAAAGAAGACGGAGACAAAATGCTCAAGAAATCAAAATACCGTAAAACTTTACTAGCACTGTTGGAGTGAGAAGAAAAACAAACCCCCCCCCCCCCCCCCCCCCCCAAAAAAAAACAAAAAAACAGCAGAGTTAAAGTACCAAACTATGACAAAGCCTGACTCAGGCTGAGCACTGTGGAACAGGAAGCTCTGTCGCCTCGTTTCTGAAACAAAGAAATCTTTTTACATCGAAACACAGGAAGAAAACAAACATTTTCTGACCAGCAGCAGATCGCCTTTTCTCTTACAGTGGAGACGTCTTCTTCTAACGGAGAGCTAAGAACCTCAGTACCAGCCTCTGCTCTGGATGGGCGGGCCTATTGTCAAATGAGCAACAGCTGCTGGCAATTGGTCAAACATGAGGGAAGGGGGGGAGGGAGCCCATGTCAGGCAGCTCTAAAGTTAGTTAGACATGAACAGGCAGCTCTGGGACTGAATCACAAAGATAACAAGCCAAACACACATTTATGTAAACACATTCAGAAATGAACTAAACTTCTCCACCCAGTCGATTATCTCCAATTCAACTAGTAAACAACCTTAAACAGAGGCAACAACCCTAATTAGGATTCCAGAGTGAACCGATGAGGCGTCCCATGATTTATAGACTGGGCTGGATGTTTGGAGAGACGGGAACCACAAAAAAAAGGCAAATAAAATAATTGTTTTCCAAAGAGTGAACAGAGACGAGTAAAAAAAAAGTTATTCAAAACTGTCTTTTTTATTTTCTTTCTGCAGAAGCATGAGTCATCTTTAGTGTCACACTTTTTACCTCCATCTGACATGAAAAAATCCCCAAAACAAAACCAGGGTAAAAAAAAAAAAGACAAAGAAAAAAAAAGGGAAGTACTATCCTCAGGTTCTCTATTTCCAGACAGAAATGTTTACAGAAGTAGAACATATATTACAAGAAAAAGAAAACATTGGGAAATGATTTTGGACTGTTTAATCAGAACAACCAGAGAAGCGATGGTGAAATCATCACAGTCTGAGGGTCTGAAATAAGAAAAATGTCTGCAAACTGTCTGATCCGTATCACCCATCACAAATACTGAACCTCTATTCTACAACAGAGATATTCTACACAATGCAGCTCTGACAAGTTCTTCTTAAATTATAATATGCTCAACAATCTGATTAATAAATGGAACAGTCTAAAAGACTCAGAATCAATACATTTTCAGAAAAAAGTAATAAAAAAAAGAAAGCACATCTATCATGTTTATCAGAATGATTCTGTGGAGCAGCAACATTAAAGAGTTAGTGTATGAGTGCAGCAATAAATAAAGTTAAAATAAGGAATAAATATTCTGGTTTGAAGCCGTTTGGTTTTCCCATCAGGCCATTCTCTCTTATGCTGTCGGACCTAAATAATATGCATTACTTCCAGCTGTTATAGCAGCGCTGTCGCCCCATGTCTAACCTGTTCCAACTGAGACATAGTACAACGCATACTTCAATCATCAGGAATAAATCAAATTGAATCCTGCTGGGAGGTGCTGACTTGTGAAGCCTCATGATCAATATTTGATATGCACCGACCAACCTGCCCTGCTCTGTTTGAGCTCTGCTTTCCTGATCCGCCACACATTTTCTCTGCCATTCTTTCTTTCCGACATCCCCAGCATTCCTCTTCTTTCACTTCGTCCACATTCGGATACCCTCAGAGCCACTCTGCAATCATCCAACCCCAGACATTCTTTCTGACTTGTCCCATTGCTCCCTTTACCGACATCCTGCATCCTTTCTAACTTCAATCTGTAAGCAGTGTTTCATTACATCCAAGCGTTGGCAGCAGAAACAGAGCTGAGCTCAGAGGCTGCTAGGTTAAAGTTCTGTAATTAGCAATCCCCTTCAGAGGAAATAGCGATAAAAACACGAGTCAGTGATTAAAGGGTCCATGAAGAAGTTGACTCGCTTCAGGCAGAGAGCTCATAGATAGAGATGAATCCCAGGAGGAAACAGCCACTGCCTGGTCTAACTGCACACCAGGAGGTCTTTTAGGGTCCATCTCTAAGGAACAGTGTAACAATTGAAGGTTTCAGGTCTGTAGCAGATGAGAGAGGGGGGCTCCAAAACAAACTCCCTCTTTTCTGCATGGAAGGGGGCGGGGTAAAGGGAGTTTGTGAAATCCAGGACAGTTTGCCTTGTTTTCAAGTGAGGTAGGTCACATTTAATGCCTTCTACAGTTCCACATGTTCAGTCTTGCAGGTAGAAAGTACCTCCAGCAGCTGACTGGGGGTTGTCATGCTAGCAGGCATTTCTGTCAGTCACTTCTCCAACAGCTGCTTCCTTTGCTGCTCCCACAGAGCCTCTAGGTGGTCCGCCCTCTTCAGAGCAGCCTATCAGAGCAAGGAAAAGTTGGGTTAACCGACAGCCCTACTATGTTACGGTCCGCTGAGAGTGTGCATCTTTAGATGGCCAAAACACAACAAAAAAGGATCGGATAACACGCGTTTATTCAAACAAAAGATAGTAAAGATTATCATCTCATTTTCATTGGATTTTGCTAATCTAGTTTCACCCAATTGCTAAGTAGGTAAAATGAAGCACTCTGTTCAAGCAGCAACAGGGAGCCGGCCTCTGAGTCATCTTCTAACAGGGCTCAATCTGAATGTTCAACATTTGGATATAAACAGTGAATCATACTAAGTCTTTGATGTACTGCTAGTGCTTCAGTTTTCTGACCATTCATCCTAGTAATACTTTATTTACAGGTTTTCCTGTTAATGTGTTTCTGTAAAAAGACTTTGATGAATAGCTTTCTTCATTTCCGTTAACACTTCCCATTTCAAATAAACCAAAAGGAGTCTGAATACCATTTAGATTTCTTTGTTCCTATGATAAATCATTATAGTGAAAAGGTTTGGCTCCATCTTTACAATTTCACACCACCGTGCCTGCTAAGCAACAGAAGCTACAGTAAGGTGAGGAACAGCTACTGACAGCTACACTGTCCGGTTTCACAGCTGATCACTTCCTACCTTTGTGGTTTTAGTGGGCTTTGAAGAACCCGCTCGGTGGGTCGGTTCTTTTAAACATGCAGCTCCTGAACTTAAACACAGCAATGAGTATAAGGCCGATGCCTTTTTTCCCCTGAGATCTGAGGATGTCCTAAAATGGTTGGTCAATGTGACTCTGACAGTTGCTTGATCTGTGTTTTTTCATGCAAGCAGAGCAGGGAACTAATAACGCCTGACAATACAGTTTTTAGGACGCAGAGAGAAACCAAAAGGAAAACAATCTGTGCCTCACCTCATATTGTTTCCGGAGACTATTCACAGTTTCCTCCTTCTTCAAGATGGCTGACTTTACCCTGCCAGACAGCGAAGAAGAATAAAAAAATCAGGAACAATTTTTTGGAAATATACCAACAGCCACTCATCCAGGGAATAAAACCAGATACAATCTATTTATCCTAGCTGTTCTGCCTTTTTATTGTTTTTCGAAACAGGCTTGAAAAACTTTTTTGTTGCTCTTGTTTCTACATTATAGACCTTAGGGTTCAAATCTTAATTGAATAAGCTTATAAAATTTAAACCTGTGGCTATAGTTTGTGATCCTTACTGACCTTTGCTCAATAAAAGACAGTTTAACAAAACAGCGTGGGACATTAACAGTAGATAAAACAAGCATTCATGAATTAGGAAAAAGTCACCACATAAAAGTTGTGTTTGTTTAATGACACCCTGGTTCCAGAGATTTTTAAACCAGAGGAAACCTTTGGGTCAAGGCTGAGGAGAAGGCATTGTAGAAAGGTAGATAGAGCCAATCTTCTGAAAATATAAAAAAAAAAATTCCTGAATATTATTTACCAAAAACTCAGTATGAATGGCAGCCCTGTCCTGTTATCATTTTTCATGACCCTATCTGTAAGTAGTTGTATTTCCAGTATATTCCTTAATGAAGTAAAGTATACTGCCCTCTGCTGGTAGATGTATGCAACCCAGTTTATCTGCTCCTTATAGAAAATAGAAAACATTATTGAAAGATATTTGTGAAGTTGGTTTAAAAATATCCTCAAAGCATAAAAATACTGCATAAAAATACATTTTTCTCCAGGTATAAAGAAGTAAACTAGTGGCGGCCGTTTCAACACATTTGCAAACTGCATTAACGTTGTGTCGATACTGTGTCATTAAATACTGACACCTGCTGGACGTTTAAAATCACTACAGCCAGCCTCTGACAGACTAAATAAACTGACACTGATTTGATGACCTATAAAACAATTAAATCCATTGTTTGCTATAATGGATTAATTAATATCTATCCTTTAAACTGAAAATATGTTTGATATTTTTAAATATAATGTGAACTTATAATGGTAAAATGTAAGTGAACGTGTGAATAACGATGTTTGTGGACTAGGATTTTTTTTTTTTTTTTATCTAAAATAATAACTACAGTAAGAACAGAAAAATAAGAGTCAATTTGAAATAAATTTGAAATCAGATAAGCTGAGTGATAACTGAGAGGGCCAGGATGACGACAAGAAAAAGAAAACAAATATGAGATCAAAATGGTTCCACTCGGACCGAAACCGCTCTTTTGAAGCCCTTAAAGCTGCTCCATATTTCTCGATTAATTTGATGATAACCCTCAAAGGATCAGAGATTTTTTGGGGGGCAGCTGCGCTGTGTTGGCAGATGCGCTTATAAACACAGTACACTGCCTAAGTCAGTCCTAAACGGCTCCTGCATCTGTCACAGTCCTCTTTCTTGTAACGCTACTCACACCGACACAGGGTGCCATTAGAGCACAAAAACAAGCGCTGGCGCATGGATGTTGCTGCACCCATCACTACTGTTAACCTTGTAGAGATGCTTCTTTGCTGGTTGAAGCTGCTTGCCTTCCCGTAGCAAAGTAAAATTAAAGAAGCAATCTCCTGTATGTCACTTTTAAATTTCCTAGATGTAAATGAACACCAGTCGTAACCAAAGTAAGTTTCTCATTTGTCTCCTGAAAATGTTCCACAGTGAACAGCATTGTGTGAATTCACAAAATTCTCTCACAGCTGTCTCTTTTCCTAACAAAAAGTAAGAGGAAAAATACACACATTTTACCAATTTCAAACATATGTCTCAATTTCATATTGGTCCTCCTTTGGAAGCATGACTTCAGTTATGTCTTAGTGAGAAATCCACATGGTTTCTTCTGTCTCCCTGCTTACTATCTCAGTTCTTAGATTCCCAGCTTAGGTTGGCACGGGGGTTAAAACTTGTGACCTTGGTACAGCTTTTGTATGTTTACGTCCTGCCCCACCAACCTTCGCCTCATATCTTTCCCGTCTCTCACTCAACCAAATTTTCTTATCAGGTTACTCTCATATAAAGGTTACTAGAGCCAAAAAGTCTTAGATTAATCTTATGTTTATCTCTTTAAGTCTCGTTCAGAATAACTAGTAAATAATTGAGCTAAGAGGGAAACTAGTTTTAGACGTCCTCCCAGACCTGAAGCTGTAACACCTGGGGAACTAATTATAGACAGACACTCTAGAATACAAAATGAAAAATAACCTCTTAGCAAATATTACTAGTGGTACTAGGATCTCACCGTTGGTGGACTTCTGCAAGCTCCTCCTCCTTCTCACGGGAGATCCTCTCCACCTCCAACCGCAGCCTTGCTTTGACCTCTGAAACTTCCACTTTGAGCCTCCGGTTCTCTTCCTCTGTAGTCACCAGGTGCTCTGCAAACTCTTGCCGTATAACTTCGGCCAGGCTGCTGCGCTCTTCTGCCAGCTTGTCTCTGGTCTGTGTAATGTCCTGGATCTCCTGTTCTTTCTGCCTGAGCGCCACCTGCAGTCGGAGCAGCTCTCCTTCTGTCTCCACCTGCTGCTTTCTCAGTTCTTGCAGTTTACCCACTGCTGCTTTCTCAGAGTGCTCCAGCTCCCTTAGCTCTGCATCATACTTCTCCTTCAGCCGTTTTACCCTGAAACCAGACAGCATTAAAGAATGATGTTTGTGAAAATTTGCACCGTCGATCTGCAGAACACAATAGCAAGAAAAAAAGCAGCAGCTTTTAATTGCTTTTGTACATGAGGAGAGTTTCTCCTGCCATGTCATATGAGAAAACTTCACTTTATTGATTTGGCACCAAATAAAGGAAAGCATTAATAAGCCTTTGTGTGATAATTCTGTCACCGCCACATAATATCTAATAATATCTGGATGCTGATACAGTAAGAGCTACAATTATGCTTTAGGTTACTTTAATAAAAGGAAAATGGGTCCTGTTTCACTTTGTGTCCCATTAAATATTTCAATAAGTAATCATAAATTTTATTTTCAATCATTTCCATAATATAGGCTTTAATGTACCTCTTCCACTGACCCAGCTCGTTCCACTCTGCTCCGTTTTGCTCTGCTCCACTTAGAACTTGTTGGTTCTCCACTGACTCACTATTTCAAACTCTCTACTCTCTGCCATTTCCCATTGAATACTAGGGATGCCAAACCTGCCCAGTAAATTTCATATAAATTATTATATATATATATATATATATATATATATATATATATATATATATATATATATATATATATATATATATATATATATATATATATATATATATATATATATAAATTAAACTGCATTAAATATGAGCTAAAATGAGTTCATGAGTATATTGTGCATTAATCAGCTATTTTGCTCTTGGAAGTAATATCCCCTCTGCTCTGCAGCAGCAGGACGCTGCCCAAAAGCCTCTATGAGAAATCATTGTTGAGGTTTGAGCTTCAATTTATTGAGGTAGCAAGAAAGTAGAGCCCTGATTGGATAACGTGCCAAAAGACTTCACTCAGTGAGGCTCAGCCTCTTGGGGGCCTATGGAGCAGGGGCAGGTCATGAAGCTGGCTGCTCAATGCTGATTGGCAAACATACTAATGAGTTTTTGACTGACTGCAGCCAGAGAGCGAGAAGGTTCTCCTCATGAGTCGAGAGGGAAAACTGTTCATTCAGTCAGAACAGTCATCTTGCGATGAACTCTTGCCGTGGTTTCTGGAGTTCATTATTTCAAAACGCATCATGACAGCTATTTTCACCGGTTGCAGTAATGTGTTTTATGTGTTTCAACATTCGCTAAAGCAATACATGGCATTTGGATTTAATTAACACCATTTAGCCCCCCCGTTACAGAGAGCAGCAGCTGCCACTGCTCTCTATTATATTGATAGCTGAATGTTTCATGGTGGTTTTGCTTTGTGTGATTTTTCATTTCTTTCAGGCTTCAGTTTTAATTTTTGTAAATAGTAAATCAAATACTATGGCTATGAGGGCGTGCAGGTGTGGCAGTGGTAAGCGTGCATGACCCATGTACGGAGGCCTTAATCCTCGATGTGGCCGACCCGGATTCGAATTCGACCTGTGGTCCTTTGCCGCATGTCTCTCCCCCTCTCTCATACCCCCTTTCCCGTCAGACTACTGTTGAAAAAACGAGCCACTAGTGCCGCAAAAACTCAAGAAAAAACTAATTCTATAGCTTTGAAACGCCTAATAGAACCCCTTGATATTGTATAATCACATGTTATGGCGGGAATTACTACTAGGACTGTAAGATATGGCTAAAAAAAATGCAGCACAATATAAGCCTTTAATATCAGTCCATATAATAATTGACTTTTTCTTCCTTATTTTTTACTTAAAAATTGACTGAATTTAAAATGCAACCTGTACTTATTCAAAAGTAACCTTTAACCCTCAAAAGGAGATTTGCCCTCCCTCCAACCTTGCTTTCTGTGTCAGGTTGAGAGGCTCAATCCTTCTCTCTGTCTACATCCCCCAGAATGCTATGCAGATTTAGATCAGTGAAATTACAAATCATTTTATAGGACATATTTTTAATTGATACTGACCAGGTGTCTATCATTATATACATCAATGTTGTTTTTCTGCCTAACTTAGTTGGTAAAACTGTTTTGTGGTTTAATGTGAGCCTAGAAAACATGAGCCAAGTGAGATAAGAGCGTCTGACAAGGTTTTCTATTCCTTTTTCTTCAGAGTAGCTGAGGTGTATGGAGGCAGCCGAGGAAGCGACATTTACATACCTGTTGTCTGCAGCTCGCTCGCATTCCTCCTTGTCCTTGCTCGTCTCCTCCTCCAGGGTCCAGATGGCGAGCTCGATCTCCTTGTCTCGTTCTCGCCGCAGCTCTTCCTTCAGCTCGCGCTCACGGCTCAGAATCCAGGCCTCCTGCGGAGCAAGAAGAAGAAGCACAGACTTAGAAAAAAAAAACAAAATGCCAAATTTAACAGATTGGTTTCTGTTTATATTTTAGTTGTTAGGGATTAGGACATATTCACTAAGATTCACCTCCTTCTTTTTGTAGTTGTCTTCCCATGTCTGCTTCTCTACATGCAAACGTTCTTGCAGGATCTTCATCTCCATCTGAAACAAGAACAGTCTGTGTAAGTAAGGTGACCATCTGACCTCGTTATTCTGATCAGAATCAGTGCTCCTCCTTCCTCACCTGGTGCCTCCTCTCCTGCTCCTCTCGGCTCCTATCCATCTCCTCTCTGAGGGCTCGACCTGCCAGTGAGCTGTTCTCTTCCAGCTGGCGCCGCAGCTCCTCCAGCTCGCTGCGCTGCCTGCAGCCAAACACAAAGACGATCTCTTTGAAAAACAATTACTGGAGGAAACAGAAGGTATCAGAGATGCTCGGTGCTGTTACAGGATCTTACAGCGACTTTAAAGGTCTTAAGGATGAAGTTAACCTGTCAGTGTTACACTTCTGAGACACAAAATGTTGCCAACACAGTCCTGTAATTGCTTTAAAAAGATACCCATGAAAAACCAAAAGATAGCTAGATTTTAGTCTCAGTTCAAAAGTAAATCAAGCTTAAGGACATTAAAGCAAAAATGTTTTACACCAGCCCTACTGAATCTTACAGCCAACCTGCTTTAGCTCCAGGACTTCACAGCTTTATGACGGAGCCATAGACAATTAGGAGCTAACAGAAAGTCTCTTCAGATTCTACAGTAAACTGCTTTAAGCAGAGATGGTACTGTGGACATCTGTTCTGCGCTCTCACCTGGCAGCCAGCTCAGCCAGCCTCTCCTTCTCATCAGCCATCTCCTTGTAGAGACGCCTCCTCTGCTGCTGCAGAGACAGCTCCTCCTCCTGCAGCTGCTTCTCATACCTGACAGTCGGGAACAAACACAAAGTGAATCCGGTATAAAACTGCTGAGTTTCCCTTCCAGAACAAAACATCAATTTAGAAGAGAAACGACAACCGGATGACATGAACAGTTTTACAGAAGGACCTGGTGGTGTGCTGCTGTCAGACACTCACCTCTGCTTGGCCAGCTCCCTCTCTCGCTGACACTGCTCCTCCTTCTCCATCTCCAGCTGCTGACGCAGCTCCTCACTCTGTCTGGCATATTTTTGAGCTGCTCGCTCGTCGGCCTGCAGCAGTTCAGCTTCGTGTAACGTCCGCAGCTTCTTCAGCTCCTGTTTGTGTTTTGAGATCAGCTTCTGGACCTCTGGCTCCAGCCCTGACAGCAGAGGAAGAACAGAGGATTAAGATCAATAGAAATTCCTGATAAAAGACTAAACGTCTTAATGAAAGCAGTTCATGGATATCTATTTGATCAATATTGTAATACAGATGATCTCTAAAGAAAATAAATTGCATCATAATTAGAATAAAAACAGAATATCTTAGTTTCCTGTAAAGGCCTGGTGACATTTTTCAAGATTTTCAATGGTGGCTTGAGACCAAAAGGCAAAAAATTAAGCACTATTTTCTGGAAAATATATTTTGCGATGCTGATCTGTAGATATTTATGCCTATTTTACAGACAGAAGTTCTAACAGCAGGCTAAACTGCTCTTTATAGGACAGCATTGGAAACATTGTTTATTTACTTGATGTTTCGCTATTTCTAGTTGCATAAACTAGTGTTGCACCGATGTCGTTTTTTGGCCCCGATACCTGGCTGTGCAGTACTGGCCGATACCGCTAGCATACCGATACCATCTGTTTGAAATTGTTGTGTGTGTGTATATATGAAGAACTGCATACTACTTGGATGTAAACTAATTGCCATCATGGCTTTATCAAGCTGCTGCCTGTAGAACTTTTTATTGCCTACCTGGAATGGTAGGCAATAACTTTTGGCTCTCAAAATGGTATCGGTATCCTATTTATTGGTACTAGCCAATACCGATACCACCATTTTAGTGCGATATCAGAGGCCCGCCCGATACTCGTATCAGTATCAATGCAACACTAGTATAAACCAAAAAAGTAGCTAAACAAGAATTTTTTTTTTTTTTTGCTTTAAAGAAACTTTAAAATGCATATGTGATCTCAGGTATCTTTTATTTTTTCAACTACCTTTAATTGTAATCTCTTTAATTTTCTTGGTTTTCTCATCGATCCATTTCTCTCTGCGGATCTTCTCCTGGGCGCTCATCAGGTCCTTTAGCTTTTTAATCTCCTGCAGAAAGTGGATGTTATTGTGCAACTAACCAGAAACATAAAAGCAGAATATCATTAAGACTTTAATTAAATGAGAGACAGACATAAAGGGGGGAAAATCTGAGAACAAACAAGCTGTAAAGCATAAATAAGATCAGTGGGAAGACTCACATGCAGACAGACCGTCCATGAGAAGTGATGTTAGATGGTATGAAATTAAGGATGAATGAAAAAAAAAAAGGAAAAGAAGCTGAAAATGCCACCGATTCAGAGAAGAAAGTGCAGTTACCTCACACAAGGGGCCGAGAATTTGCCACACCTAATGTGAAAAAGGACAACCCAGGATAAGGAGAGAGGAAAAACATGGGGGGCAAGAAGAGAGAATTAAACCAAAGCAGAACAACAAGAGAGCAAGTTAAAGTCAGAGGAAGGAGCAGAGTACAGACCTGTGGAGACATGAGTCTAACTCACCATTTCATGCTGCTGTTGCATATGTAGGATCTTCTTGGTGTATTTCTGGTCCACCTGCTTTAATTCGGCCACCACGCCTTCACAGCGCTCACTCAGAGCTTTTTTATCATTGATCAGCTAAGATCCGACAAAAATAACTTAGATCAAACACCAAACAGAGAGCAGAAGTCGGACATTTTTAGAGCTCGTTGATCACCTGGTCTATGAAGGTCAGGTGTCTCTGGATAGTGGCTTCATACTGATCCTTCTGGAGTTGGAAGTTCCTGCTCAGCTCCTTCTCCGTCTCCTTCACATGTTTTGCTGATAGCTCTGTCTGCTGAGCCTGCAGTAGATTAAAAAATGGAATAAAATCAAAACACAAAAGATTCAAATGCCCAATAAGGCTGTAATCATATCATTGTGTTATGAACTGTCTTCTCCCCCACCAATGCAGCCTGCAGCATGTTGACGGTACGTTTCTTCTCCTCCAGCTCCAGTTTGATCCTCATCATGGAGCTGCTGACTTCAGCTGCAGTCGCTGACAGATGATCGACACCAACCAGCTCCTCCTCTGACAGGACGGCCTGAGGACGACAACAAGACATCAGCTCCACACTTCCAAACATAAACGGGATGGAAAAGTGAACGGACCACCATAGTGCAAACCGATTAAAAGAAAACCATGCATGAACCTCTGATTGGTCTCTAGAAATTAATAGATCTGACAAGAAGAAGCCCACCTCTCTATGGGACCCAGAGGTGACGGATCGTGGCCGTTCCTGCTCCGACTTCTCCATCTCATCCAGGAAGCTCATAATGCTTTGCAGCTTGGCCTCAGACAAGAGAGCGCCCCCGTCTGGTAGCACAGGATGTTGATTCAGCTGGCCGTGGCGCTCCACGTTATCCGTGGTCAGCGAGTCCCCCTCCTTTGGTTAATTCGGATGAGAGTTGGTTAACGTGGGTTTCTTACGGTTTCCTAGTAAAATTTAAAAAATCAACACCGACCTCATCTATCCAGGCGTACTTCTCCTTCCGATAGCACCTTGGCTCTGACAGTTTCTCAGGCTCCTCTTCCAACAGCTTCACGGTGTCCAGCAGCTCATTCAGTGTAGTTTTAGAGTGAGCCTGGATAGGAGCAGCTACCTGACGCTGGTCCTCTGCACTCACAGACCTCTGCAACAACTCCTGTAGTGCACAGAAATCCTACAAGCTCAGAAATGTGACCAGATTTAAGGAAACAATAACCCAGAAATATCCCATTTCTTGCCTGGGAAGTCAGGGATCCTCTGTGGTGTGAAATAACTGGAGAAATTGCTCTGAATCCGATGTCTGCTCCATAATTTACAACATTTAAATTAAAGTCTAAAGGGAAAAATTGATTGAATTATCTGAAGGCAAACAAGAGAAAGACACTGATGTATCTGAAGGGTCACACCTGTGTTCTTGGTTTTGGTGTCTGTGGGAGACCTTGGGTTGTTGTTGCTTAGTGAGACCTGGCTGTTGTTGGACGGTGGGATCCTCAGAAGTTTCCTCCGTCCTCCTGCACCAGATGGTTTCTGATATTCAGGCTCAATTTCCATAGCATGCTGTTCTGCTGCTGCCTGTGGTGCTGATTTCTGCTGCAGCTCCTGTTTGACAACAGAGTGAGAAAGAAACATCAAACTAAATCAACATTACTAAGAAACCTGACTAAGAACGTAAGTAATTAAACGACTGAGATAAAGGAGATAAACCACAGTTTAATCAGGAAGAAACTCACCTGAGAGCACTGAGATCCTTTGTTACTGGATAAAGCTGGAGAAATGGCTCTGAAACTCAGCTCTCCTAAGTCAGCTGTGATGTTGAAATTGGTGTCTGCTAAAACATAAAGCCAATCAGTGATGATGCATTCTGTTACAAAAAAAATATTTTGACCCCATCAATAATATATATATAGATGTTTGGGAAAGTATTATTTTTAGCCAGAAGAATTTATGCCAATATAAAAAGCAAAGTTCAGAAGCTGCAAACAGCAGAGACCTACAGACCTGTGTTCTTAGCTTTGGTGTCGCTGGGTGACGTCGGCGAGCTGTTGTTGTTTGGTGAGGTCGGGCTTTTGTTGCTGATGGAAATCTCAAGCCGTTTCTTTCGTCCTGTTTGCCACAGATTTTCCAACTCCAACTCTGGAGCTTGCTGCCCCTCTGCCCTTCGCTGAGTTTTTTTCTGCTGCAGCTCCTTAAGCGCACCAGCAGAGGGAGACAAAGAACGAAATATTTAAGAACTTAAACAAAAACAAAAATTACAGTTGTAATTAGGTCTGTATATTGACTAGTCTCGTACAATAATCAGTTTGAATTTAACGTCTGTCCCCTACACAAAAATCACGCATAATCTGTAAAATCACTCTGACATCAGCTGAGGTATAAGACAATCCTAAAGGTTTGAACCTGAATGGCAGCAAGGCGGGCAAGACGAGCTTTCTCCTCACGGATTCGCATCCTGTCTTCTCCTCTGCGCTGCTGCCTCAGCTTATCTTCCTCCTCTTTCCTCTCCTCCCACTCCTGCATGGAAAAAACTTTTTGTAATTCAAGCAGAATAGAAATAGTCTTGGAACCCCAGAGGGATAAATACAGACCTTTCTCTTACTGGCCAGGATTTGCTCTAGCTCTGCCTGGTGGCTGTTTTTCCTCCTGGAGTGGCGCCTGTACCAGCGCTGGATAGTGACTGCAGCTTGGTTCACCTGCTGAATAAACCTTCAGGAACACGAAGCAAAATCTGTGAGCCACACGTCAGAAAAACCAAGAGAAAACCTCCTAGAGGGAAGACTTAAAAGCTCCAACATTTCCGCCTCCTCCTCTGTGACCTCCTTCCTCCGCGGCGAGATGGGGCTGCAGCACTGAGGCGACACCGGCGACGTGTTGTTGGAAGTGGAGGACGAGGACGAGAAGTTCTTCTGAGACTTTGTGACAGAGGAGCTCTCCAGCAGAACTTCATCGTTCGCTGTGGCCTTTAGGATGTTGCTGAAAGAAACAAAACAAATGAACAAAAAATATAAAGAACTGCAAGTAAGAGAAATATAAAGAGAGAATTTGTTGTTCAAGACAAAGCAGGAAAGAAACGTACTTGAAGGAGGGCTTCTGGTTTGAGCTCTTAGGTGTGAGAGGCTTCTCAGAGTAATTGTTGTGTAAAATGGTGGTGACTGAGTTGCCCACAGCTCCTTTGTTGCTCCTGCAAAAAACAAAGAAATAGATTAAGCTGCAGAAATAAAATTTCTGTTTTATTTTATAAACATTTTATTTTATAAACGTGTTCATAAATATAACAACATTTACACCCTGTGTTCTACATTTCAAGCCAAAATACATTCCTAAAGGTGGCACCATCAGGAGCCATGATGGAACATTAGAAGCGTTTCCAGTGCAACTAGAAACCCAGGCTGCAGGGCGTGTGTGGGTGTTTGTGTTTTTTTTGTTGCTTTCCACCTGTTGTTGGCAGTGAAGGTGGCCGCCAGAGGGATGCCAGGCTCTTTTTTCTTCAGACCGGTGGGGGAGTCCATGCTGCCGGTGCTGCGGGCGCTCGAATGTGGTGGAAAGGTTCTGGGCTGATCATCCTTTAAAAAGGCAGAACATTCATTGTATTGTATAACTGGAAAACATTTAGCAACATGTTTTATTTTGACATCATAAACAGCTTTTGTTATACAGCAGATTATGGTAGCGGAGCCGATGGGGTAGCATTAGAAATGTCAGTGTGTGTTTGATTGTAAATACCAGGATGTTCCATGTGGTTCTCTCTGGGGAGCTCTTGCTGAGGCTCGCCAGTTTCTTACGTCCATCAGAGCCTCTGTCGAACAGAGTCAGGTAATCTTCGCTCGGTTCCTGACTGAAAACCACCAAACCAGACACGTTTATTCCAGAAACGGTACAAATCGGGTTGTCATTTAACATCGACTTCTCAAAGTAGCTAAAAACTGCAGCTTTAGATCAACACAGTTTTCATATCCATCATTAAATGTGAGCAGCAACATTTTCTAACAACTATAACCAGAGAAGTGTGGAGAGGCAGCTTTTTGTGATTAACTGTTGTCATGGCAGCTGGATAAAAGGGGCTCCTCCTATTCTGTTCTTGAGGAATTTGCTGCTGCTGACGGTCTGTTGAGGGTGAAGAAGCTCTGTGATGGATTCAATGTAAATGTGTCCATATGTTGATCCTGAAGACCAAGATGAGCAGATGTAGGGTGACCCCCCGAGCCTGTCTGTCTGTCTGTGTGTGGAAATGTGGGGTCTTCAGGAGGAGGTGGAAGGGGGGGGGGGGTGCAGCCAGCTGGAATAGAGAAAAGCTACCCGAGCCGCACTATTCAGGCAATACATTCCTTCAGTTTGTGCTCTAGGAGGGAGGGGGTGTTGAGTGACCCACTGAGAGTCCAAACACACACCATGGACTCTGAGGGAGTGTGTGAGGTATTTTAAGCCCCCCCCCCTCCACCAACCACATAAAGCAGAAAGGGGAGGTGGCTGGCAGCAGCTGCCGGACAATACAATGCGAATCTGCACACGCTCGTCTCTTTTTACTAGCTTCTGGCAGAGGGGGTAACCTGACCTGAGAAGTTCTGGCCCTCCCCCTCTAACACAGAACAAAGAAGGCCCGGAAACCCCCAAGACCCCAGCAACAACCACTCAGCTTCTCCCCACACTTTAACTTAGGATCCGGGGCGCCACAGCTCCTATTGTCCAACACTGCGAGGCTCCAGGACCACCAGCTGTCCCTCAGTTAAGAGATGCATCAGTTTAAAGAGCTCTAGGACAGAGCCGAGTGCCCGACACAATCACGGCTCCCAGACTGGAACTTACACAAAACCCTTCCTTTATATTTCAGAGTCTGAGTGTTGCTTTTTAGATTGCTTTAGAAGCTCAAGTGTGAATAGATCTGGCTCAGCCTGAGGCTCTGCAGGCATAAATCAGCACATGCTGTCCTGATCACACTTCTCTGTGTCAATGTCAGAGATAAGAACCCAGCAGAACTGGTTTGACTAATGGCAATAAGAAGGGATAAAATTGTGAAACCAGAGACTTTGCTTCACCTTAAACTAAGGTTGGCTATCTGGTTGACCTGAGTGGTGCTGTTGGACCTCCTCAGGTTCTTGATTGAGCGACAGCTCCCGGTATTGGAGAAGCCCTGTGGATGGAAAAGCTTGGTTAGAAATGGCCAGAACGACTATCATCATTATTGTGTTAATGTTTAGTTTATTATGCCTTTACTATCCTTATTTTTTATTTTTTTATTATAGATGTCACTATGCCTTTTGTTGTTTGTGTCAGACTTTTTCTAAAAACGAAACATGTGAATGTCAGATCAAGTGCCTTGATGAAAGAAATGTTTCACAACAAATATATTTGAAAACTAGAAGGAGTTGATATGAAAGAGTTTTCACAGAAACCCACCAGCATGTTGCGTTTCCCTTTACCCTCGGTGGCCAAAGACACCGACACAGAGCGGGAGAAGTGCTTCCCTGGAGATGCACTGCTGGGCCGTTTGGACATGGAGAGCCTGGAGCCGCTCAGGCTGAGGTCCAGGGCATCTCCGGGGGAAGTGGTCGGCACAGACGAGGGGCTGCGTGTGGTATGCATCCTGCTAAAACCTGGAGGTTAAAAATTTTGGAGGGTATTAGATAGAAAATTTAGGAATAACAAGAATTGTTGGTCAGAAAGTTTCTGTTCAACTTTAGATGGATTAGACACCTTAAAAAAAAGATACACAATCCTGATAAACATGATTATTTTAGCTGGGGTCGTCAAGGAAACAGTCTACATGCCACCTAGACTACATTTTAAAATCTTTATATTACGGTTCTCTCTCAGAGGAGGAAGACGTTTAATCAAGCCTGTTGTCTGGTCGAACACTGAGCTATTTATAGTACTCTACCGATTCTTCCAAGATAGAAACAGTGTTTCACATTTTAACATTCATACCGTTCATCCAAAGAAATCTTCCATTTACACGTCTTGTCCACATAAAAGTTAACATGACTTTGGCAGCACCATGTCAAAAACAGGTCTACTCGGTCTCTAACTGCATTAGTATTTCTGCAAGTGGCACAGATGTGGTCTGAAAGAACATAATATCAAAATTATATTTTGACAGTTTATTTGTTAATGTCACTTCAAGATATTTACATGGGGAGTGAGGGAGCTGAACCACACAAACAACAAATTAGGGGTGTGCAAAATAATCGTAATGATGATGCATCGTGATTCTAATTTTCGTGATCTACTGCATCGATTCTTGATGCCAAGTATCGATTATTAATAAAAAAAAATTCATAAATAAAATTGCATGAATGTTTGGCGAACATCAGCCAAAAACAACAGTAATATAACTTCCAGTCCAGTAGATGTCGCTGCGGATGTGTTGACGCACACTGCCTTGTGTCACAAGCATTTCCGGCCGCGGGATACTGCGCCGAGTCATTAAAAAACAAAACATGGAGGAGAAAATATTGCAATGCATCGCAATAATTCAAGTATCGTGATACATCGTGATAGAATCGCATCGTGGCCTGTGAATCGTGATACGAATCGAATCGTGACTTCTTTGGCAATACCCACCCCTACAACAAATCCCCCTCACTCAGCCTTTGGAAGAAGGTGGATTTGTGTGGTTGTGTTTTCAGATGATCAACAATCAGATTTGTGACCTAAATAACTGAAGGTATTTATAGTGTAGTACCAGTGCAAAGGCATAATGCTTTGGCATAAGTTAGAAAGAAAGCTTCTTTTGCATAATACCTAGCTGTAAACCTTTACCCTGCCAATGACAGGAACTACATTTCTGCTAAAGAGAACAGTTAGTTAGAGGTACCTTATTCTATGCAGCCCAAGTCAGACTCTTTATAATATATCACAAGTTTGCTATGAAAGAATTTGTAAAATGTGCAAGTTTAAGAAACACAATGAATGACGACTAATATCAATAACATTTTTTGCTTGATCGCCTTTATTGAGTTAATATAGTTTACAAATTAAACAACAAAAAAGATCAGTTAATAAAATCCACAGTCTTGTTTTTGATTGGTGAATAGCCTTCAACCTGCTTTTGTGTGATTAATGTTAATCTTAAAGACAGGAATAAATAAAATAAACATTAAATATTTGATCAGAAATAAAAGGATTTTGTGTATTTTGTTTTAAAATGACAAAGTAGGGTTTGAACTCATGCGGTCAAATACCTGTAACTTATTTGAAATCATCAAATCTGAAATTGTTTTATTTTATTTTTCAGAACTGCATGCTCGTTACCTTTAATAAAAGTGAAGCAAACTACATGTCTTTTTGTTTCAAGGAGGAATAAGAACAGAAACAGAAAAGCTGATTAAAAGGTCGATGACAATTGACATTTACTCCAACCACTAAAAAGGGCAGATTATTTGTCAAAAATTGCTTGTTGGAATGCACACTTTCTAAGAGTAAGAGTAATAACATTTAACTTCCCTCTGGAATCAATAAAGTATATATATATATTTTATATATATATATATATATATATATATATATATATATATATATATATATATATATATATATATATATAGGCCTATATATATTTCTCTAATCTTATGGTGTAAGATTTAAGGTTTTCAAAGGTTCAGTACTTTAAAAATTCAATATTACACACATGCATCTCTTTCTAAATGCACCTAATAACTAAATGCTTATTTTGTATCATTTTCTATTTATTTATTTTTTTATTTTCAACAAATGTATTTTATCGGGGCCTGATGCTATGGGGCCCTCAGCAGGAACCTAATCTGCTTTTGGCTTTGCCCACCACACTGATCACAGTACAAAATTAAACGCAACACCTGTCTGTTAACACAATACACACAACATAACTTCCAATGTCATAACAACTTCATTACATTAGCGTTTCTATCATAAGTTAAACCTCTAAGTTCCTAATTCCATGTTCAGTTAAAATGTTTGCCTTTTTCGTTTTTTAAAAATAGCGCAAACATGTCCTAGAAGTAGAGGATTAAAAACGATGCTTTTTAAATGAAGTCTGGTAGGAGCGTTTCAAGCTAACTGTTATTTTACGGTGCTAAAAAAAAACCAAATACAAACCAGTTTCTCCTGTGGAAGAAGGACCTAATTCACGGACGGGAGGGCATCCTGGCTGATAATATACAGGTCACTCCCACGGCCGTGGGTTTTATTTACAAAACAATCCTCCGATAAGCAGTGAAAGTGCTCGGTAGACGGTGGAGCAAATAAAGCGTATCATCATCGCTGTGGTAACAACACACACAAGTCCCGCCCCTCTGCCCGTCTACTATTGGTCCCCAAGGATGCATCGTTTGGGTTTCCTCTCGCCGGATTGGTCATCAAGAAGCGTCAAAGCGCTACACTGATTATTAGGGGCGTGGCTTCCTCAACGGTTTGGTTGACTTTTAAATCAACTCTAAAAGGGTACAGAAGATTATAAATAAAGGAATGTTAATGCGAATCCTAAAGCTTTTGCAGTTCCTTCTGTAATTTATGAATGTTTAAACAGGATAGAGTTTAAAAGCATGTATAAAAGAGGTGAAGTCTCTCTGCTTGATTACATCCAATTACAGAATACATGTGCAGATACACATAAATATGCTGTTGTTATGTGTGCATTTATATATATATATATATATATATTTCCATTATATTATGTTATTATTTTTTTTTTTTCTAAAGGCCATATTTGTGTGAACATTTATTTGTAATATTTTTTTCCTGCTTGAAACACCAGAATTTCCCCATTGTGGGACAATAATGGGATTTTCTATTCTACTCTATATAGATATACATTTTATTACATATACGTTATAAATACAGGGTGTTGGTGTAATATTTAAACAAGAAAACTAATTAACATCATTCTAATATGTGCGTAATTTCATTTAGCATTTGTGTAATCTATTTTCCAAAGAATAACTATGTAACTAAATTATTATTTAAGTCTTTCTGAATTTATAAATGTATTATTCATGACAAGGAAACAGAAGAACTTACATTTACAAACACCTTTTTATTAAGGAAATCATTAATTGATTTACAGTCCTTAATTGATAAACAATAAAAGAAAAGAAGTACAATATTTACACCACAGAAAAAGGCTGCTGTAATCGCAACCAGCTCCAATTTTCTACAGCAGTCTAACTGTTAAAAGAAAAAAAAAGGGGGATGGTGGAATATTTTATTTTGGAAGCATACATAACCTCATTAATAAAGTCTATTGACCTAAAGCAATATGCATGGAATGGTTGTTGTTGGTCATTGACCTTGACCAAGGCACCTTACAGAAGAACTGCAGTCAGTCCCTGGACTGGCATGGTTATCACTACTCCCCATAGTTAGGGACAAATGCAGAGGATAAATTTCCCACTGGGATCAGCTTCATAATTATGGCAGGCCACTTCTTTGATTTTATTTATTTTGCCCTGGCTACTTGTAAGCCCACAGCCAGCCAAATCTTGAAAGGGCAATATCATTGGCACTGCTGTAATTGTATAGTAGAAATTATACACATTTAGTAATAAAATGGCACAGGGGTTGGTCATTTAAGAAGAGGGATGATCTTTAAGATTTTTTTTAAGACGGGGGATACCATCCCCCCTCAACTCGAGCGCTGATTATCTAGAACAAATCAACAGGTCACAGTTTTATTCCAGGTTTTCTATCTTCTTTTAAACTCCACAGCAGCTCTCCATACATCAGCACCTTTCCCCAGGATTATGTCCTCTGGTAAGTCTTCGATTCCCAGCAGAGCTGGAAGGTTTTTCTGCTCCACATGGACCTCTAAGGTGGATCTCAGACTGCAAACAACAGGGAAGGAAAACATGAAAGAACAAGTCAGCTCAGGATCTATTATTCTCTTACTATGTATTCTATTTAGGCTCCTTCCTAGCCTCCCTAGCTGCTGCTTTAACATGAGTGAACTGTGGTAGAGGGGGGTACAACTTAAGCTTCTTTCTCCTGACAGATGGCTGCCTGGAGGGGTCACACTCTTATCCTGGAAGTCAAAAGGCTCCAAATCCCTGAGGGACAGAGAGAGTGCCAGCTGAGACTGCCACACTTTGGTCTCACTAAAGCTGTCAGAAATCAATAGATTCCTTTAGATCAGGTTAGTAATCACAAGCTGACAATAGCCACACTTCCTGAAAACAAAAACCCTCTACAATCTTTTAAACCAGAATCAAAACACTAAATTTTTAGGACCGTTTTACGGTTTTGGTTGCAGCCTCCTCCCAAAACCAAACACACATGGAAAACTACTTGTCATTCAGAGGAATGCATGTTAATTGCTTCATCTTACTCCCAGTGTGGCTGGTAATCTTCTTCAGGCCCGACCCTTCTCGTCTTCAGCAGCAGGATTTCATGCAGCTCTAAAGAGAAAGCTTCAACATCTGTGACAGCGAGGAAAGCTTTAAGTCCACTCCTCTCTTCCTCCGACAGCTTCTGCTGAAAGTCTGAAGGTAGTTTTTGAAACGGGTCCTGAAACCAACAACACCAACACCAACAATTACACCACAAAGCAATACTCTGTTAATTAGACCAGAGACTAGAATCACAACTAAAACCTTCAGACATTGATCATCACTTTCTAAGTGCGTTAGGGAGGTTTAAACCATAAATGTACAGTTCAACATAAAACTTTTGTTTCTTTTTTCCAACAGGCCTTCAAACTTACTTGTTTCCTGTTGATCATGAGCTCTGATTTCCAAGAATTCAGAAGCTGCCAGATGGAGATGCTGTGTTTCAGTTTGCTTTCGCCAAGACCCTGAAGGGAAGAGATGCCCAAAATAAATCTGGTATGTGTATTTTATTCATGTACATCTGAAGACCAACACAATGTCAAGATTGAAACCAATAATAAAGCTGTAGGAAACTCTGAAGAAGGATCGGTCAAGTCCACATTTTTTTCATACCCCTAGAAGCCTTAGGCTCAAAATAATTGCTTAATTTCACCCATATGTTTCTGCTGAACAGAATAACATTAACAGTTTGGAGGAGGAAACTGGGGATGGAGCCTAAGATAAAAGTGATACCTTCTACACAAAGTAGATGTGTCGCACTGCATCAGGCAAATAGTGGTCCCAGCTAGGGCTGCAGCTATTGACTATTTTGCTAATCGATAAATCTGTCAATTATTTTGTTTGATTTATAATCGGATCTGAAAAGGTTCCTTAAAGATTATTCTTTTACAGAATAGACATCGATATATTCTTAAACATATAGACGGATGAAAAGTAATTTTTTTTTTATTTTAAATGCAAAATATTTATATATCATTTTACAAATTTTGGTATAACTACTGCTCCAAGTGGGTTGCTTTGTTAGCTAAAGGCATGTTTTAGTGTCTCTATACTGCAGTTAATGATTAATCAATTACTAAATTAGTTGATTCCAATAATTAATTTATCCGATTACCGTATTTTCCGCACTATAGAGTGCACCTCACTATAAGCCGCGCCCACCAAATTTTGGGAAAAAACCTGATACGTACATAAATAAGCCGCATTGGGCTTTAAGCCGCTGATATCTACTACCAAACCTACAGGGGGACATCTACATATAGCCCCTGGAATAGGGATGAAGAAGAATGCTAGCTCCTGTTAGCTTGTTGGCTAACAGCAGTTAGAGCTTTTACTGAAAGCTGGGGTTTCCTTGGGTCTTTATTTCAGTCAGCAGGATTTGAGCCTAGTCTCTTCATTGGTTTGGCAGCTTTAATAAGCAAATAAATGTCAGCAAATAAATGGCAAAATGTGTGAATTCGGGACATTTGTTCTCCGTCGCACCTGCTGCTAACATGTTCTTGTGCTAATTGAAAATTAGCTCCTAATTCTTTCTTTTCCAACTTTGACTTCGCCCTCTCGTGGTTAGGAAAAAAAAAACAGAGAAGAGCCAAAGCTTCTTTTAGATGCATGGTTTAAAGCAGGGGGGAAAAGTTGCGGCTTATAGTCCGGAAAATATGGTAAATGTTTTAGCCCTAGTCACACCAGATACAAACAAAAATGTTTGTATCTGGTGTATTGAAGCCGGTTTGTTATATTTATTTTTTTTAACCTGCTTCAATACAGTAAAACCACAGGTTTTATAGTTGCTTTTGTCGTGGTCAGCCTAAGGCACACCTGAGCATAAATCTTAATGTCCAATCAGGATCTTGATACAACACACCTGTGAGGTGGATGAATTATCTCAACTCACTAACAGATTGAAACAGAATATCTGAAAGAAAAGGGCATTTTAACGTTCATTTTTAAAGCTACAGTGTGTAACTTTTAGCGACATCTAGCGGTCAGACTGCAGACTGAAGCAACATGAACATCTCCCCCACACCGCTTCTCCCCCCCAACAGTACGGCGAGCGTTACGGGACAAAATGTCTTCCACGATGTCCGCATCACCTACCTTCTCAAGTGATGAGGTTTGTTTACATAGATAATTTTACAGATAGTATTTCATTAGTCTGTGTAGGGTATAGATTTCATGTAGACTTAAGATAATAAATATACCCGTTATTTGTTCTACATCGTTGTGACGTTTTGGTGATCTCGCAATCACTAGTTTGTTGGCTCTGTGCTGCCGTAGCGCAAAGATGTCTGCCTCCATGGCTGCGAGACCCGCTCCTATGTCATTATAAATAACGAATTCTAAGGCAACGCAAATATTAAGGTTAAGAGGCTGAGCTCGTAGATGATGATAAATAACATAGTTATGTATAATATATTACATTTCTGACTGTATATCCCTGTAATTATTACACACTGTAGCTTTAAATAAAACAAAAGTAAAAATAAATAAATTATCCTTTATTAAGTTTGTACTCATTGTACATTTATTTATTATCTTTTGAGAAAAACTCCAATCAGGCACAAGATTCTTGAATTTAAATCTGAATCTCTGGGGGTGAATCATTTCACATCTAAATTGAATTCAATTATATCATGTTCTAAGTGTTTCAAACTGGAATCTATTTTGTACGATGAATGTTCTTTTTATCTGAAATATTTATGTCCAAAAATAAAATACTAGCGTACAGACCTTTTAGATATGGAAGCTAATTCTGAAACTTTCTGGTAAAACAATTAGCTTTTGATGTTTTTCATGCTTCGTGGCTTTATAAGATGAAGATTGCATTATAAATTGCAGTGGAGTAATTGCAGTATTTAGAGAAAAGGTATATATATTTGAGTGTATTGTAACCATAGAAGAAATATTGTGCATGGTTTATACCTTTGCTACAGTGTTTGAGATCTGCGGG